TATGCGATGTATGCGGGAGAAGCGTCTTGCCCAAGGACACAATGGCAATTAACTGATTGAAGCTGCTCTTGCAATCTATGATAAACGTGGATAAACCATTGTACATTTTGAAATGTTTTATTGATCTAGAATAGTTTAATAAATAATACAAGAGTAAAGAAAATAGTGGCAGTGACACATGGGTTGGAACATGCACAAAATACAAAACAAGCGGATAAAAGACAACGATTATAAATGGTTGAAAGCCTTTAAAAGTTGCGTTTGTACAGTATGTCTCTCCCCAACACTTTGCTTTTGGACCATGCTTGTCAGGTCCTGCCCTCACGTGCACAGGCATGGATGGGTTTGTGTGTGTTTCCACCTCCCTGAGCTGGAGAGCATCCACAGAGGGGGAGTGTGCAAACCAAGAAGTCCCCCTAAAGCTCAGCACGACCCTGTGTCTGTTTCAACAGAGAGCTGCTCCTGACGCCACACGCACCCACAGGCTGAACACACCAGCATCAATGTGCCCTGGAAATACAAGCCTGCGCAACACCAAAGAAAATTGGGGGATTCATCGCAATCGAATTAGCAAATTGCCAAGACTGCAAATATTTAAGTTATCTGTAAGCAAAAAGTAAAACATGAGAAGTGCTTTTTTTGTTCACAGTAATGTTATTATTTAATGAGATTTGTCACTGTCATTAAGGATTCCGACTTCTATTGACTTTAAGAAAATTTACTAAACGTGTTTCATTGAATTTTGCATTAGCAATTTGAATCATGTCTCCTAGTGTTTTCTCACTTTTTAAAACAGTTCAGCTCTTATAACATACTATAAATCACAAACGAAAATGAAACCCTAAAAAGTATAAATTAATTCCTAAAATTTTTACAGATGGGCAAAATATCAATCTGTGCAAAGCAATTTTAGATTTTAAACCTATAAACAATACAAATGCATTGACCATTTATGGTTCAGGGATAAATGCGTATTCCTATCGGCATCATTTCTCGGTGTCGGAAAAAGCTGGAGTTTAAATACAGACCATGTTTGTTTGTTTGTCTATTTATTCCGGTAATCCAAATACTGCACACCTGTTTTCTACATAGCTGTCTTCTGAATCAGCTCCATCTTATTTTGTACATATGGAGTAAGTTTGAGCGTAAACAAGCTTGCAGGATATGAGGCAGTGCCCTACGAGAGAGTAAGAATGATCATGCAAAAGAAAAATGAATCATAGAGAAGGAGAGGTCTGCACTGGCTGTCCTCCCTGTCTGAACGTCTGGACCGAAGCTTGCATAAACGTGATCGCGGTAGAAATGGTCTTCAATCAACTCCCACAATGCGGTTACAGAGGTTTTGGCCAAAAGGTGAATGTGTCTGTCTTTTCCATAATGTCCCAGTTATGACATCTACAATGGAAAGGTCATGTGTGTAAAATCAAAGTATTTTATGTATAGCGTGAGTGGGATGGAGCAGCGATGTGTGTCAACAAGTGCACGCCAAATAACTGTGATTAATGGCACGCAGCACAAGGAGAAAACATTTACTGAAACGCAGCCAGATTGAACTAAGTTTCATCTTATCTTCAGCTACCATTGATTACCAACTGCATCAGAGAAATCTAAATTAACCTGAACTTGTTTTGCCTCAGAATGGCTCAGGATGTCAAAGTAAACACAGATACCTGTAACTAGTTGTCTGACCAAAAGGGTTGAGTATTATGAAATATGCATAAATATTGGATACATGAGCTATGGAATCATTGATGTAAAGTTTCATTCACTTTCAGAGGGACAAAATAGTATGTTTGATGTTTGTATGTTAAAAACAAAACAACAACCTACTTGCTTCACTTCTGAATAGGAACCAGAATGGATAGATGTTGATAGTTCTTAAAAGGGAGCATACAATTTTTAATATTTTATCTGCGTCGCCAGACACAACATAATAATTATCATATAAAAACATGTATGTAATGCATGCTTTATTTCCACAAAACTGAAGCAACTCAAAGTGCTATATTTTCATCTGTAACACTTTGAGTTGCTACTATATCTGATTTATCCGATAAAATGTTTAATGTTATTGTTAATGTATTCTAACAAAACAACAAAATAACTTAAAAGACACCATATGAAATATTTTAATTTTAAATTATACCATGGCCTTTTTTTAAACAAAAGCTTTAAGTGGAATTATTAAATGAAAATACAATAGACATGTTGTATATGAAGGGCGACAGCGGGTAGAGCATCGGCCTTTGGGCCTGAAGGTCATGGGTTCGAGCACACCACAAGACCTACTTCACTTCCACTGATGTCTGCTGTCATTGTGTCTTTGGGCAAGACACTTCTCCCTGCTTTGCCTGAAGCCACCGCTGAAAGATCTCAGCTCCTGTGGACTCACCACCTGCAGGAGGATCAGTGAGGGGCTGGTGCTCTGTGTACTGGGTGCAGCTCTGACTGCCACCCCCCGACCCAGAAATGGGTTAAGGGGAAGAAAATGGATGGATGGATGGATGTTGTATACGTCTACATATTTATGGCACATTTGGATTGCCAAATGGCACATGTATTTGAATGAAAGCAGATACAAACATAAGTAGTAGAGTTTGTACAGTTAAATAAAGAACAGCAGGTGGATTTTATCTGTAATAGGTGCTACATGTTACAGACAGGAAAATAAAGTTAATTGTAATGGTAATGACTGCATTAACCCAGAAAAAGTGCAATCCACATAAAGCCCCCTTTGAATATCCATCCATCCATCCATTTTCTACCCTTTAATCCATTTCTGGGTCAGGGGGGTGGCAGTCAGAGATGCCACCCAAGTCTCATAGCACCAGCCCCTCACTGACCCTCTGCAGGTGGTGAGTCCACAGGAGGACGGCTGCTCTCTGACTGTGAGCATAGCCTTGATCTTTCAGTGGGGGCTTCCCCTTTGAATATGTTTTGATATTATCTTCAATATTCTTTTTGTCAAAATGATTATCAAACCAGAAAGCATCACATGAGTCTCCCATTTCCTTGGTAATCCAGCTGGTTTGGGCTCTACCTAAACCTCATCAGCTGGACTCCATCAGAGTAATCAGAGCTGGGGGAGCAGCAGAAACATGTGTGTGTGCCATCTACTACAGGGACAAGGACAGTAGGATTGTAATTGTAATGACTTTATGAAACCAGAGGTGCAAAGAGTGCAACCTACCTACTGTTTCTGTGAGAATGTTTGTGAGGTCTTAAACTTTCCATTAAACAAATGTATCCTATCCTGTCATTTCTAATCCCTAAATGACTATGGATCAACTCAATGTGTAACAAAGGCCTAACTGCATGTAATGCCAACAGTCTTCACCCACTTCTAACTCCTAGGAATAACAGCAGCGTGAATAACAAAGGCAAAGACTGAACAGTGCATTATTAGCAGCAGCATACAACACAAACCTATCTTGAAACGCAAAGCTTGAGTGGTAATCACGAAGAGCTGCTGGACCATCACAGATTCAATCCAACCAGGTCTGCTTACACTTTACTGATTCGACTTTTGGCAAAACAAATGGGTGAAAGTTAGAACTAACAACAAGGATCTTATTCTTCTGCCTGGGCCTGCTGCTGCTGCTGCTGCTGCTGCTGGGAGCAGTGCTGACTTATTTAAGAACTAGTGGATGCACAAGTCCCAACCCATCTCCATCCAGTTCTGAAACATGTGCGAGTTCCTCACAATCATTTATGAATACAAGTAAAATGGAAAATAGCTGGAGTAATCCTTTAATAGCCCTGTCAATACTTTCTCTGTCAATCAAAAAAGCTGCACAGTGGGAGCCATTTGTGTGTCAAAGATCAAGAATAAATCATTGTCTTTACCTACAAACCTTTACTCATGGTGCAGCCATAAATTAGCTTCTAATCTATACATTTTCATTTGTTTTTAGACGATTCAACCTTAATCCCGAATCAAGCTTCAGCGAACGTAGAGAAACATCTGTGTGTGCTGTATAGAAAATGTTCTGGATTCCAAAGCCATCAAGCATTTCTCTTACTATCGGCCCACAGCAGATATTTCAAACAAATGTTTTTCCACACCAAAAGCGCTTGTTCTATTGGCAAATCTTGTTTTAAAATGGTGAATTTTTGTTTAGCTTATTTTTGTATATGTGAATGTAATTTCCTGACATTTTTGTCTCCTAAAGCTGGGATAGCTAACTTTCAAACCACAATAAATGGATTTGTGCAAACAATCCATCGGTTCCTCACTCTCAAAACAAGGTTATATCACTGGATGTCACTACCCTCAACCAATCAGCTCTTAGCCCAAAGCATCACATAGTGGCTCTTCCTTAAGGATGCAAACATTTACATGTGTTATAACCAGATTAACACAGAATGTTGTGATCTGATGTATTCACAACATTTCACTTTTACAAAACTTTCTTTGGTGACTACCATAATGTATTACTCATGTAAATGTTAAGTACCTCAGCTTTAATCTTCAACAAACAGGGGCCGAGCGCACACTGTTTACTTTGTCTCCAGGGCCTCACATCTCAGCGAGAACAGGGCGCCGCTCTCTCCCCTGGCGGACACAAGTGGAGCTGTCTGCGCTCCTGAGGGCTGGACCGGGGCCAGGGGCAGGAGAAGCCTGGCAGGATCATTAGGAGGGAGCTCTCCAGTAGACGCACACTTATATCCTGCGACTCAGCGCCAGCAGAGCGGAGGAGCGCACGGACCACAAGTACTTTACAGGAACTTTTCTTTATTTCCTTGGTAGAACTTTTGCGCGAATGGTTTGGATTTAACGTGCAGGTAGCTTCAGCAAACTTTGGAAAAGAGTTGATCCCTCTGCACGGGCGCCTGTCAACGTCAACATCTGCGCGTCCTGTCACTTTTCATATTTTACGCACCACTTTTGGATTGGCTTTTCACCGAATCAGCTTTAAAGGAACATCGCTGGGTTGTTTTTTACTCCGCTTTGGCATTGAGCCTTTCCAGAAATGGTGGGGCATTTGCATCTACAAGCGATGGATGAAAGTCTCAAAGGAAAGAACCGGGAAGGGCTGCTCGATAGTCCCGATTCGGGTTTGCCTCCGAGCCCCAGTCCGCCTTTCTGCTCCCTGTCCCCCGGGTTGATCGAGTCGCGCTCCAGCAGCTGCACGACCCCTGACCACCAGCAAAACCACCACAACACATGCTTAAGAAAGGAAGGCAAACTGGTATGTGTGCGTCTTTACTGCATGACTATTAATGCATGTTGAAAAGATTTGAATAACCAAAATGAGACACACTACAAAAGCGTGTTTCTGAATGAATTAAAATGACGTGAACGATTTTGAAGTCAGCTAGATTTCTTTCTCTCTTATTAAGTAAGGTTGTATTGCAAATGTGATTCATGAATGAATACCTCTAATCTAATTATACACGTTTTTTTTTCATTCAAACCAGTGACAATTTATTGGTGACATAAGCAAATCAATCCATCCCATTTAAAAAACACCCAAATTCTGAATAATATCTGAAGTTTAAGTCAATTTAAAGTGTGACATTCCATTTTTGCAGTGCGCTTGTGACATCTGGAAGCTCTTACTCCATTTCCCAGCATTCTTCAGCTGCTCACGTGAATGTCTGTTTCATTTAGGTTAATGTGTGATCTTTTATAATCGCAATTTTATCTGCAGGGCCTTCACAATAGGTCAGTGTGTTAACGAGGCCCACTCCCCCCCTCTACTGGGGTTTCCAAACTAGTGGTCCGGGGACTCCCAGGGGTCTGTGCCAGGGATCTGTCAGTGGCGGCTCTCAAGTGACTTCTGTGCGAATAACAATGCAGTAGCACTGTTAGTGTAGCCAGGCTATCCACTATCCATAAATGAACCAGATAAGAAAAAAGGTTAAAGACTGCTTGAAAAAAAAAAAAAAAAAAAAAGAATTATTGCCAATTTCAGACGCAGACTTGGCTAAACTTCTCAATTCTACATATTTCCAAAGTATAGTAGCGATGATTCAACCGTGACATTTTGCTTTGATTTACTTCTAATCTTCCTCGCGGGGTGCCTAGTCTCGGTCCATCTCCCTGGAACTTTGTAAAAGTCTGTTTTTCCTATTAGCCCCCAAGTATTTGTCCCTTTAGTCACTAGCCACAGGAGTGAAACTAGTCATAGGGAAAACAGCGTGTACATAAATCTTTATGTTTGCTTACATTTGGTTTGTATTTTGTACTTGACATATTCATTATAGCACAATAGCCTAATATAACACACTGGCTGACATAGGTTTCTTTTTTGTAAAATAATAATAAGAACTCTGCTCAGTGGTTATGTTTATACTTCTTGCCATGCTGTGGAACTGTCCAGGCAAAACAATGCTTAGATGGATGCAAGCGAAATGCAAACCTTCATTGGGAAAGTTCCATTGTGCAACTTTAAGTTCAAATATAAACAAAAACAGGTTTGCAGATTACACATTCAGCTATAGTTTAGCCTAAATTATCTTTTATTCACACATTTTAGTTCATTGTAGTTCACTAGTGTCTCAATTCTGATGCAGGAACGACAAACTGGGAAAAAACCATCCTCAAAACTTTGGCAGAATATGTACATTTAATATTTTCCAAAAGAGCAAATTGTGAGGCAATTCAGCTTGTTTTAGAGTATGTCGCAAAACAAAACTGGCATGTGTAGTCTGCATCCATGTTCATTATGCAAGAATAGTTTTTCTTACAATGGATGAGACTCCACAGACCCTCAGACCTGGACTTATGTGTGACGGATATGATTCATTAGTCTGAAACACAGTCCCAGGTCTTAGTGCAAGTGTCTTCATTATAGCAACAAGCCCACACAGGTTCATGGTGGCTTCAAGGAGGCCTCAGAAATGCAGCAGTGAATCGTGGGAGTTGCGTGACATTGGATTTTGCTGACAGACCAAAACAGGGGGAGAAGTCTTCTAATCGTCTACAAAGTTTCTCTTCTGTACAGTGTCGACTTAGTGGGAGGAAAAGTACAGTCCAGCTCCTACGCTGTTGAGAATTGAGTAAAAGTAAACAAAATATTATTCTCCATACGTCTAGTTACATTTCAAAGCGCACACATTTTACTAAATCTACTTTTATGTGTTTTTTAGAATGATTCGTGATAGTTTTGAATCATTTAGTCTCCTGCATATCATTCAAGATGCTCTACGGGCCCTGCTGTCGCCATCAGATTTTAGAACGTTTGAGATCAATATTGAGATTAAAACTGCTCAACTTGACGTACATACTGACCCGTGGCGTGCCTTTATGTTTTGTGTCGCATCAAAGAACATTCATGAAAGGCCTATTTTGAGTGGAGGGTCTTGTAAGGGCAGTTGCAGCCTGCTTACATAAGTGAATATGCAATGACCCTCTCCCTCCTAAATGAAAGGCACAACACTCGTTTCACGCGGTGTAAGGTGGCAGATCCGCTATCAGAGGATTAACCATCAGGGCAGGAAAATGTTAGACGACTTATGACGTTAACTTGTTTTACTCCTCCAGTCATCTCATTTGTTTGATGCGTCCTTAACAACACAATGGGCGGCACGGTGATTGTCAATCGCTTCTGGTATTTATCTACAAGAATTTAACCTGAAACAATAGTTAAAATGTCCTACTCTCAACTGCCTTCTCCCTTTAATGGTTTCCTCAGCCATTTGGTAGATCATCCTTTGAGTCAATATATCTACTTGAAGCATACTTGGAACTGAAATATCCAATCCAATCCACTTTATTTATATTGTAGCACATTTTATAAAACAAGTTTCCAAAGTGCTGCACAGAGATAAAATCAATACATTTAAATATGCATGTTTGCCAGCCTTGTGTTAAGAAAAATCCATGAAATAGAAGTAAAAAGTATACGTCTTTGGGGCATTGTAATTTGTTTTAGGCACTTTTACCATTAAACTGCATCTCAACCATTTGGTAAAGAACAATACGGGTTTTAATAAAAAATGTAAAAAATAAATAAAAACTTATGTTATTAGTGCTCCTACATTTTAGACAATCAAAAACAAATTACATTGGTGTCTACAAGGAGTGAATGTTAAAGGGTTAAGGCATCAGTCACTGGACACTATGGAAACAATGGATGCACTTTTGGCACAGATTATACACATGCCTAAAGAAAAAGTACGTATTTCACACTGTCTATTTTAATTTTTGTTTAGTCTTTTGTCACTTACAACAAACTCAAGCAAATATGAGCACAGTGTTCCGTTTGAGAGTAGTTGTCAGCTGCAGCTCTGAGTTGAAATATGCTTCTCGGGGTTATACAGGGGAATTCGACCCCCCTCCATTCACAACTGTTTGCTCTGCACAAGTTGCCAAAGCACTTGGTGAATAAATACTTGGAACGCTGTCCACGCCTCGATTACAGCACCGCCACTTTCATTTTTGTTAGGACGATAAAGCTCTGGTAATGGGAATAGATATTTTCCCCTAAATGTGTGCATGTCAGACAGCTGTGCGTCTTGAGCCGGTTCCTCCCATCGGGCTCGTCTGCAGATGATTGTAGAGTGCAGAAGGAAAGCCGAGCTGCACCCCGATCCTACGTGCCCTTGGCCCATCCAAACCGCAGCATGTGACTGCTCCAGTGTAATGTGAGAGGTGCCAGGCTGCTGCCAATGGATTCACTTTGGTCACATCAGGTCCTGTAGCGTACAGCTAAACCAGGCTGCAGGGACGAGAGCCCAGTGTGATTTGTGCTAATCACTTTTCCCACAGCGGAGAACACACACTCACCATATTTGAGATGCGCGTCAAAGAAAAGAGCAGAGAAAATATACACAAAAAAATCACAAAAAATATCCTTTGGGCTGCAATTATGATCAAAAATAGTCAATTAGTTTACGATTGGTCATTGACTATTGTAGTTGTAATTGAATAACGATGGAGGAGGGTCAGGTTTTTGCTCGAGTCCATCTAAACCTTGGTGTTTGCCTGCAGGCTACAGTATTGCATGAAAGTTTCCATCAACACTTGTCGAGAAATGAAGACAGAGGCAGATCGCACCTGTAACCCGGTTTATTTCAGAGTTCTTCCACTTCGAACATAAGAAAACGTTTTAACATGATCTGTATAAATGTGCATTATAAGAACAGAGACGTCATCACTTGAGATATTAACGACACAGGCTAAAGACATAGATACTACTAACAATGTGAGTCAGAACAAAGACATTCCATTCTTAAGATAATAATGTTTAGCAGTATTGCAGATATAACAGGGGTCCACAGTACATCATGTGCAGGTCAGATTGCACACGCTGTACTTTAAAGTGACTTCACTAGGCTAAGTTACAAGTCATATCCGTGGAGAGAAGAGCAGACCCAATGAAATCAGTTTTTTGAGCAGTAAGACATTCTGATTGAATAATGTACAAATGGGCATCCTGCATTCCAAGCAAAGAAATAGCATCTCCATGACAAAAAGCAGGACTCCATCAGAAATATGCAATGCACTTATGTGTGAAAGCCTCTACTACATACATATAGTATAGATCAGAAATGATAAAAAAAAAAAAAATCTTATATTGTTATTACCTCAGTGTGTATGGAACGTGAAATAGTTAGTTAGATTAAGGAGATGGCATTTGACAATAATAATTGGCTTGGGATATTAACCATCTAATTAATATATGGGGTGGTTCCAGTTTGCCTGTGGTGAACAATGTAGATACTCTGCATTCAATAATAAAACTATTTTCACCGAGCCAGCCCCTGTTAGACTTTCCAGGGATGCATACTTCTCATTTATGAGCTACTTCGGGCGCTACATCTGTTAGCTTGTTTTCACCCACTCACTGCTCAGAGACAGTGTCTGGGTCACACATCCCTGTTAGTTTGAACTCAAGACAAAACCAGAAATATGATCCACCACCAACACGTCATTTGGAAGCACAATTACCTAGATTGAATTAGAAAGAGTGTGCCTGTCTGCCAAAACGACTCCAGTCTAAATTTGTGCTTGTAGTAATAGCTGTGCCAAGACAGTCATAGGGAGGATCAAGGAAAGCGTTTTTCATAATTATGTTTTTTTTTTTACAGGAATTCTTTAATTGGGTCAAATGGCTGTTGCCTGTTTTAATATGTTTGTGTTTCCTGTCCACAGCTGCCCTACCTCCTGCTCAGCTCCACAGGCAGCGACGCCAGGACCCGGATGCACCCAGTGTTTTATGGAGAAAGTATCGAGGTCAACCCCACGTCAGAGCAGGAAGTCAAGTAAGGGCCGTGTAATGTCAGTGGACCAAAGAAACCTAATCTTTCAGCACAATTAACAGTGCAAATATCAAAACAAGTGTCAAGGACCACGGTAACGATATTGCGATATTTTCTCTTCCTAGAAAATTCCAACGAGCATAAACCAATTAAGACATTCCATTCCACTCCATTAACGACATAAAATAATATTGCACACCAAATCAATATGAATATAGCTCTTTATCATTCAATAACTCTTGAAAGACCCAATGTATTATGTGTCTCAATATTCATTCTCTTCTCACTTTGCAATAGTGAGAAGATATTTCATAATTTAATATAATTTAAGTCACTTTTATGGCTGATTATTGCTTGTTTCTGCCGTTTATTTGTTTCAGCTTGTGAGATTTAATGATAAAGATGAATAAAAACAAGGGTTCACATTGATTATCTTGCCGTTTCGAAACTGCACCAGTGGCACAAAGTCATCTAAATTTTATAGTCTATCGCATTGCATGGATGTTTTTGGCTTTCAGTACTTTCGGACAGTCCCTCGTCATCCCCACACACTACTGTGGATGGTTCCTAACCGACTTCTCAAATGTCAAGGTTGTATTCCAGGTCCACACAAACATTCCCACCTTAGGTCACGTCTAAGGTTTCCCCATATGTACCATGTATGACAAAACAAATAGACATGATGTAGATAGATGTGTTTATAGATTGTTTGTGTCAACTATTGGTATTTTGATTCTGAGGCGGATTCGGACAGCAGAATGAGCCTCACATGAGTCTCTCAGTTGGGTTGTCAGTTTAAAATCAAGTTGGTTTAAATCCATGTTTCTTTCCCCAGACCACACACAAAGGAAATATCTCACAAGATAATCAATATTTTTTTCTCCACACAATCTTGAAAGAAGTCACCTCAGCTATAGAGGCAGTGAATAAAAAAAGTAAAACATATAAAAAAATAAAAAAAACATACGCCTTCTTTTAAACATTTTTGTTACCTGTCATTGTTCCAGGCTTTTATTCCCTGCAGGCTGCAACAAATTTACTAGTGACTGTCGCCTACTACCCTAATCATTAAAGCTGTTGTTTGTATATTCCCAAAAAGAAAAGAGTCTTGTAAAAGTAAAATGTTGTGAACAATTCAGACCACCATGCCGTCTCCTGCTCACATGTCGTCTTTGGCTAAGAACGACTAATATCCATTAGTGACGGTCCTATTTCTAACCTCATGTACAGGTGCAGCTCGGAGGTCAAGTACGACTCAGACCGCCACTATCGGGACCAGGTGTACTGCGCGCCCGTGCCCACCCCCACCGGCTTCAGCGAGACCGTGGTGACCGTCCCCAACTGCACCTGGAGGAGCTACAAGTCCCAGGTGTACCTCGAGCCGCGGCAGAGACCCCAGAATTACCGCACCACCACCATCATCTACCCCAAACACGCCAAAAGCACTTACCGCACCACGCTCAGCTACAAGGCCTCGGGGTCTCGGCGCTGGTTTGTGTCCACCGTCCAACTGGAGTCCAGCGAAGACTCCAGCCCCTGCATCATCTACACGGAGGACTTATGAGCCTGTGTGGAGACCGAGACCACTTTAACATTGTGAAGGATGTTCCAAAAGGGAGTGCAAACCCGGGGTCTCATTTATAAAACTTAACCTAGAATTAGGGATGGGACGATTACGATCCGCTGTTATACTGAATCAGATGTACATGCATGGACAGATCTCATTTCTTTTGTCGTTTGTCGGAAGAATGGCAGGAAACAAACATTGTTTTTGTTTACATGCAGTTGTGCTTGAAAGTTTACACACGCACACAGGCAAAATGTTGGCCATATTTCCCAAATTATGTATGAATATTTTTCTATCACTGTTAGAGGTTGTGTGAAGCCATATATTAATTTCAAATAAGTATGTTTTGTAAATTCAGATTATGATAATGAGAAATGTTCCTCTCCCAGTGGTGTCTATTTCCTCTATAACATCTATGACAGCTTGGATTCTTTAGTGGTAGTTGTGGAGGATGTTCTTTATCCTCTCTGATGGTAAAGCTGCCTCCAGTTCCTATAAATTCCTGGGCCGCCTTGTATGAACTACACGTTTGAGAGCTCAAAGCGACTCAATTACGTCAACAATTAAAAATAGAAAACACATTTACTCGACAATACGCTTCACTCAACCACTAACGATAACAATGAAAAAAACATGTTTGCGTTTATATTCTCTAAAACACCAAACTATAGGCAAAACAATGACTGGGTGTGTAATCTTTCATGCACAACTATATCAGTGAATTGGGCTGTGTTGAGGGGAGCCATAACCACTTTTTTTAACACGGTAAAAAATACTTTGGGTCATGATAATAACGTCCCATCCCTAAGTGGGACAGTAACTTCAGCCGACATGCTAAATGCTAACTTCGTGTATTCCTGGACACAGATCTCCCGCTACCTCTCTTCTGAACTGTCCCAAGTTTTTGGACTGGATTTTACATTTCTCTGGAGATTTTGTCACAACTCCTATTTGTTTGTTCGCTTTCTAAATAAGACCCTTGTACATTTGAACCAAGGGAGATGTTGTTTTTTTTGTACGAACTCTTCACTTCTAAAGAGACGCATGGGGCTCACATGTAAACATCTTATTTAACACAATTGGTGACTTGATCTGTTTTGTCGCTCCAAGTATTTTCTTATTTCTTGCACTTGATATTTAATCATTTGAGGCTTTTCAGTGAACCAGCATTGTGGTTTTGAGTTCAAGCAACGCGTTTTAAAATGGACCAAAAAATGTCGGGAGAAGTGGGACAAACGGCCGCAACAAATGGCTCTACAGTAGCTTGAACATTTTTAAATTAAGAATCAGATGGATTTATTTAGGGAAGATCGAGTTTTTAGTATTGTGCTGTATTGTTTCTTTAAGATCTATCAAACATTTAAATAACACCTTGTTATTTACACCCCTTCTATCAACTAATAAAGGAACACGTGCTCATCAATGACGGTGGTCGCACGAGACTTTACCTCAAATCTTCCCATCTCTTTTGATTCATCGCAATTGTATCGTCTTCAGTCATTATTCAACCTTGCATTTATTCTTTTATTTTATTGCTTTAAGATAAGAGCCTTGTCAATATAGGGTGACCAGATATTCCATGTAAAAATGTTATTATTACCATATTCCACCCATAACATGATCTGAAAGACATACATCAGTGCTATCGGTTTGTTCTGATATCTTATAGGGGACATAACATACACAATTCAAAGCTTTGGACCATGTTAGAATTGTTTTCTATTGTCATGGAGACAAAAGTTGTTTTTAGGCCGATTCATGCATGTCCACTGTTTTTTTTTTTTTTTTCGCTCAACAGGGAAAAACAACCGCTGACCATAAACTTGTGGTCTGAGAGGAGCCATGTTCAGATTCCAAATGTACGAAATATATTGAGCCACAGATCACAGAAATGCTAAATATATAACAGGCACAAGAGATTATACATAATTTTACACAGTTTAAAAAAACAATATCAATCACAAAGTTGAATGAATCCACTGGGACTGTCTGGTCACCCTGTGTTAATGTTGAAAGAATGAGAATGTCTAATTACTATGGGATGTATGACAAGTTGTAAGTTAGGAGAGACAGCGGGATGTGCTGATGGTCCGAGGAAAGAAAGTTATACGGATCAAGAGCTGACGTTGGTGAGAGTGTGTTTTTAGTTTCTGAAAGCGTATTACTGTAAGATATTCTTCTGTTGTACATGTGGCATATGAGGCACTTGATATTGTTCTTTTTATTTTTGTACGTTCATCCTTGTTTCTATTCTGATCAAAGAAAATAATTTAAAAAGATGTTTATCCTCATTGAATAAAAAGATTCCCACGTTCTCTTGTTTTGTATTTGATGTATTAGATGTTCTGCATGATGTTCTTGGAGCAGAAATAACTGACAATAATATCACTGTTTTGTTTATTAATAATAATTAAAACCTTATAGATTATTACCATTTGTCTGTGAACAAATACATGTACATAAAGGTTTTGTAGAGTGAGAGAGAGAAGTCCCTATCTCTGCTTTGTGGAATCCACAGATGCTGCAATCATAGAGACTGAAAGTTTTCCACCATTTTTTGTTTTATGTTAAACCATTTATGAAAGCGTCCCGGGTGGTAGGTAAACATCCACCTTGGTCCCAAGTCTTTTGCAGACAACTTTTCTTCCAAGAAATATGGATTTTTCTCCATCTACCTTTTACGTACATTTCACAGACAAAGGTCACGTAAAACTTCACAATTGTTGGTGTCGTTTCATTCATTCCATTGTTCATTTGTTTGTTTGCAATATATGCAATAACGAATAATTAACTTAGTTCAAGGGTAAATGTTAAAAGAACTCTGTCATGGAAAGAACCTAAGATAAGATGAACTTTATTGATCTCACAATGGAGAAATCATTCAGGTTGTGCAAAATGACAGGAAGTGTGCAAACAGGTTAAAATATAGTCTTTTTTCTCAGCTCCTCTACAGTCCTGTGCAGTGGGAGTGTTACGGCCCACGGCCCGTAATTCCCTATTTTGGGGATTACTTTAGTTTCTCCCGTGGTGTCTGTGTGGTTGTGTTTCCTCCCTTTTTTCAGAAGATCACGCTCGTGAGTCCTGGGCTCCTATTGGCCAGTCATTCCCCACCTGGAGCTGATTGACCGCGATGCCTGGGTGCTGATTGGGCAGCAGCTGAGGCAGGCCTCCAATCAGCGTGCGCTCACCTGGAGGACCCGCCCTTATAAACTGCCAATCTTCCACGGCTCAGGGCAGCTGGAGTCAGTGGACTCCAGTTCGCCATTAGTTTTGTCTGTGTGCTGTCACTTGTGCCGGTACCTTAGTTCAGTGACTTGTTTAGTTTATGTTGAGACACTTTAGTTTAGGTTACACTTTTGGTTTTGTCAATTGCTTACTTGTTTTAATAAGTTATTTATTTACTGTGTGTTAAGTAGATATTAATCCTATTTTGTTTTACCTACTTTTTCACCTAAATAAATTATGATTTTAGTTACCATTCTACCATCTTGGTTATTTTGTTACTTCCTCACACCTAGCTGAGCCGGGTCGTAACAGGGAGGTGTTGTCCATGATGGAGGTGGTCGAACTTTGACTAGCTCCCTCCTGTCCCTCACCTCCTCCACAGAGTCCAGGGAGCAGCCCGGGGAGAGCTGGCCCTGCTGACCAGCTTGTTAGGCCCGAGCCCCGAACGGGGTAAGGTCCTATTGCCTTCACAATGGTGAATGCTAGTGGTGGCGGTGCGTCATGACAAGAAAAAAACATTATTATGGCCCCGCCCTCTGACAAACAGGAAGCCCATAAATCTCACTGCAAAATGGAAAAATGAACAGCAAAAGTTTTCATACATGTCGGTTGGAAACTATCTCCTCCTCGGCCGTTTCAGCAATTAGCCTCAAATTCGCTCCACATCATCTCAACACATGTACCTTCAAAATGACTTTGGCGATTTTTGATCAGTGAAACATTGTTCGAGCAGCGGAGCGGCAAATTGTGACCGTTTTCACAGTATTAAATTTGCTCCCGTTTGCATATATACAAAGTCTGATTTGCACAAACTTGAAACCATGGTTTAACTCTACGGTTTAGGTCATTTGAAAGTAAATTTTTTGAAATTGGCTCATTAGCGCCACCTACAACAGCCAATTTAAAAACGCCTATGGGAGGGGTTGGAGGTCAAAATTGTCGTAGAGCCATGAAATTTGGTACACATATTCCTTAAGTCAAGACATGAAAACAAAGTTATTATGGTCACGCCCCTTGACAAACCAGAAGCTCATAAATTTCACTGCAAAATGGAAAAATGAAAAATGATCCTTTTCACACATGTCGGTTGGAAAGCGACTCTTCCTTGGCCGTTTCACCGATTGGCCTCCATATCACTCCACTTCGTCTAAACACATGTACCATCAAAATGACCTCAGGGTTTTTTGATCAGTGAAACTTTGTTTGAGCAGCGGAGCGGCAAAATGTGAGTTTTTTTGGCCGTTTTTGCACAAACAAAGTCTGATTTGCACAAAACTTGAATCCATTGTTCAACTCTAGGGTCTAGGTCAGGTGAAAGTGAAATATTTGAAATTGGCCCATTAGCGCCCCCTACAGACTGAGGCAAAGTTTACATGGGGAGCCAAACCAGCTCTACGTATTATATTCATTACAATTTGACTAACATTCTTCTATGGCTACGGGAACAAATCATCACACGGTGGCGCCACCTCCTTTGCGCGGTGCTGCGTGGTGCGGCGTAGTGCGGGGCGTTGTGGAGCGGCGCGTTGTGGCTTGGTGCGGGGCGGCGTGGTGAAGAGCCGCTTGGTGCGGGGCGGTTTTGTATGGGGCAGCGTGGTGTGGATCGGCGTGTTGCGGGGCGGCGTGGTGTGGGGCGGCTTGGCGTGGAGCGCGCGGTGCGGGGAGTCACGCGGTGCGGCGAGGGCCGTTCGACGCCGCTTGCGGCTTTAATTCAGTCTGCTCCTGCAGAGCAGTGCGAGTCAGCACGTCCTTGAAGCTAACTTCCAAAATATGCATAATTTAATGTAAAAGCTGTCTAAAGCGATCCCAGAAGCAGTTAGCACTACCAGGCCAATTCATTGAAATATGCAGTGTTTTTCTTGGAAGTGAGTAAGAAATATTTCCTCTGATAGATCATTACAACAGTACTAATTGACCCTCAGGTGAATAGTCTTTATATGTTAGAAAAGCACCTGGGGAAAACAGTCTCACCGTCTGTAGTTTACAAATGCAGTCATGCGTCTTCTTTACCGTCTTTAAATAACTCACAGCTGCTAAAATAACAGCGGAGCCTGTTGGCAGGAGGCCGGAGCCTCTGGAGCCTCTGGAGCCGGGCCTGGTGTTTCCACTGCGGCTGCTGCGCTCAGCGCCTCGGCCTGTGGCGCGGGACTAGCGCCCCCCAGCGGCTGAAACACACCCTAATGGGCTTCTTACCAATTCATACAAGCACCGCATTCCTTTCTTGATCCTAAAATAGTACCCGTTTGACAAAAGGTTGCTTCAGAAGTTACATTTTACATTTATGCCTACTATATACAATGTAAAACCACCAAGAGGAATATAAAGAGGAAAGAGCAATGGGGACGTTTTATGAATCTGGTTACAACATATACACATAAAACAGACGTGTGCATTTATTAGCGTCATCAGATCTAGAAACTGACTGGAGCACATCATCACATACACTTATGGAGCATATTTAAATACTAAATCACAATCTTAATACGTAGATATTAGATACGAAGATTTGAAAGAATGAAAAATACACAATGCAAGAATGGCAATAAGCTTTTTATTTAAACATTAAGGCAGTGTCTTTTATTTTCGTTTTTACACTGCTATCCACAAAGCTTGCTGGTGGGCATGTAGAATTTAACCATGTGAATATTTCTTTTCTGTAATACCAACCTTGAAGCAAGCTACATAAATATTTACATCTCTTCAGTTTTATATACAATCCTTGCTATTATACAGTGGGTTATATTAAAAAAAAGAAGAAAAAAGTCTGTATGCACAAAATGGTTGAACATTGTACTGTCTTTGTGAATCACCCACTCACCGCTGGAACGCCAACAAGACTGTAGATTTAATTCATTTTCACTGAAACAAAGAAAACCATGTGAATTCAAACAACTTCATAAAATGATGTGTTTCAATACACCTTTAAAAACAGAAGTCAATCTCTTGTTTGAGGGGAAAAGGATATGGCTTTGTTTTTGTTTTGTTTTTTCCCCACTTGCCGTCACATTCTTAACATCTGTGGATACACTTAACATAACAAAGCAGGCTAATATATACAAAGCCCGCCCATATATTTTTGGCCAAACAAAAACAATTTCTCCATCAATTCAGGCAAAAAAAATAAGAGCTGAGATGTGGATATGCAAAGGGCCTGTACCTGATTTTGACTCTTGGATTTTCATACTGTAATATATTGATTGCTGCACCGTGACCACCTGGGATACAGGTAAGCGTTGTGTTTCTAACCATTATAAACGGACAATTGGATAAACATTTCTAATCAACTAACCCCTCAAGCACGTCATCTTGATCAAGTGCAGGCCCTCTCAGCGCCACTGTGAACAGGTAGCAGAAACGAGGGAGAGGAGGTAGTCCTATAACAGTCATGTTTCATGAATCTCCACGTGATTGACTCAGCGACGGCTTTTCTAAAATACAGGGAGCTGGATGTGTGGTTACGGAATGGACCGGAACGCTTTGAGTATTTGCCCCTTCATTTATCTGAAGTTTCTGAGTGTCAAGTGGAGAGATATTAACAGTTATAATAATGGTCCTGTGATATTTAGCATCACTTTCAAATAAAAGCTAAGGCTGTGATAAATTTGAATAAAAAACAAAAATAAAGATTTGCAAGATTTGTAATATCCCTGTAACCCTATGAATCTGGTCTGAACCAAAGAGTTTGTGCGTCACTCAGTAATTTCAGTACTGTTTATGTAAAATAAATGGCACTTAACACTATAACTGTACAAAGTGAAAGTGAAGAGGTTCCACCTCCTCCTGACAATGACAGTCACATTTGAAATCAGGTACAAGTCATGCTCCCTCAGTCCAGGGTCAGGAAAACGATGGCTTCTGTGTCACCTCTTTATAGCACACAAACTCCATGTGACGAGTCAGAGGAGTCCGAGCAGCTTTCAGGGGAGGGATACACTCCAAACAGCGTACTCAGTCAACAGTGTGATTGTCGCGTTGAGTGTGGGAGCACTGAAGATTTCAGTGGCAAGATAAAAAACAGTTGTGCACAAAAACTCTACACAGTTGAATAATTTTTTTCATCGCCCTTGATAATTAATAAAGAAACATCACGGCGGAGACTTACAGCTAAGTGCTTAACATCCAAAACAAACACAGGCATGGTTATTATAAAACTGAGAAAGTGTCACTTGTGTCGGGGCCATTATCTTGAGGCCTGAAGTCAACGCGCTTATTCTCTTGGACCTCTCAAATATATCAGCAATACCAGTCCAGTATGTTTACCCTGTAAACCTATGATATGACCCTCCCACATTCTTGTATCCCAGGCCTTGCAAAAACAAGATACATCACTGCAGATAACAGACGACAAATGACACATTCAAATGTCCACCATCAAAATGTACTGAGGTTCAGCTCAACGTCTACAGACTCAACTGAAGAATGAGAGAACACAAATAAGCAAAACCACTATGATCTGCCCACATCCCTCATCGCTGTAGTGGTATTGCCATGTGCCTTTGGCCAAACCAACACCATCCAGCTTAGCGAATCTGTCGAGGTAAGGCCCCTGAAGCTGTTGAAAAGGGGATGTGTCCTGGAAGGGAAAACACAAAGCCACTAGGAGCAAAAGTCCTGCCCCTGTGGAGCTTTGTGTGATGAGAAGAGGCGACTGAATGTGGACAGAAGGAATGGTGTGGCACTAATCGTCTGTTAGTGTCTGTCTGCAGCAGCACAGACTACATGGTATTGTAGTGATGTCCAGGTCACTCGCTGTCCGAAAGTGTCTCATACTGATCCATGAGCAGAGGCTTCGGTTCTTCCTCCCAACGCCCCTGTTGACCAGGGCCCGGAGCTCCCTGGCCTGGAGAGGGTGACGGGGCAGACACTGTCCCACTGGGGAAACGCATCGTCAAAGGATTGTAGGGATACGGAGTGGGGGCGGAACCTGTTTGAGAAGAAAGTTTCATTAAAAAAAGTTTGACATCTAACACATGACATTTTCTCAAGTGAAAGAGTGCATATTGTACCTGTCGATGAAGGTCGTTCCTCCAGGACCCTATTGCTGAGTGGGGTCCTTCTGTTGTAGTCTCCTTCTGAGTGGACGGAGGACACAGAGGAGGGACGCTCTCCCCCTGACAAGCCTGGTCCCGGTGACTTGGTTTTGCGACCGTTGGATCTTCCATTGCCTTTTGAGGACTTTGACCCTCCTGTAAAACATGAAACAACATGAAACCTAATGACCAACATGTTTTTAAAGGTTATTATATAAATGTTTGTCCCACCTTGAGAAAAGCCATCTTCAGCACGTCCCTCCACACCAGACGCCTGGCCACTAGAGCTAGGATTGGATGAAGAACGGTCTTCAGCCTGGTCGTCATATTTACCCATCAAAGCCTTTCGAATTATGGCCTCAAGACCAATAGAGTTCCCAGGGGCCTCTGGGGCAGGGTGGCTGCGGACTGTCACAGGTCCTGCAAGTAATTTCACCATCAGACACGGAACTAAAGACAAAAGGACAGTCCCCGGTATGTTTTCTGTAAAGAACAGATAACTGATTACCTGCTCCTGTGGATGCTGGCATATTGAAGATCTCGGTCCCAGGCTGACCAGCATCTAAAGCATAAGGAGAATGTGGTTGTTGCACAGCAGGAACCTGCTACATCTGATGAGAATTGTTGCTTGACTTACTAAAATCATTTTCATTTCCCACAACAGTCATCTTCTTGCTCATCTCCTGTTTCTTGTACTTGACAATTGCTGAGGTGTTCTCTGTAAGCTTGCTAAAAAAAGCTGGTGGTTGAGACGCATTGGGTGGGGACCGGGAGCCAATGCTGTAAAATAAGGCAACAGTTTCTTTAATGTTTATTATTTTTAAGCAAGCAATTGTTGCTCAAGAGCAAATTATGAGATTATGAATCTGTTAACTCTCTTTTTGACTTATCAGATCAGAGAGATGCAAAACATATTAGAAATTTCATGTATATATATATATTGTCCCTTACCCTTGTTCTGCCTGCTCACTGGGGTAAGTAGCGCTCCCCTGGGCATCAGGGTCAGAGTTGACTCCAGCTGGAGACACCGGCTCAATGCCGTCATTTGAAACACTGACCGGGGATGATTTGGGTTGAGATGGGGACCTATACGAAAACATGTTAAATTGATGCTCTCTGAATTTAGAGTTTCAAAGATTGTGATTCTCACCGGTCTCGGTTTCTTTCTCCTCCAAGGCTGTCTGAGTACCGTCCTCCCGTAGCACCATCTTGTTGGGCCGGAGGGGGCTGCGAGGCACTGGGCGGCCGGGTCAGATCCAGGACGGGAGAACTATGGTAACTCTGCTGCTGGCTCTGCCTTGTGTAGTCTTTTGTTATGACCTCCTGTTTCAAAATCACATTTGATTAAGAGCCAAATGTACCATCTTGTAAAGTAAATCTTTGGTTTGGTTTTCTTACACTGATGTGCTGAGCCAGGGTCACAACTCTGCCTTTGACACAGGGAGAGGGAGGCTGCTGACCGGGAGACATCCTCTCCACTGATGGAGGACGGTACATACTGTGAGACTCCAGCTTCTGACCTGTTAAGAAAACAGATTTTTTTTCAAGATGGAAACCCTTTTTTGAATAAATCCATTTGTATAAAACTAATCTATTGAAAGGAAATTATTATGACTTTGCAAGGTCTACAACTTCGATATAACTTTATGTTCTGTTAAATGGCTGTTGTGTACTTTGGCCAGACACTTCACCCACATTGCCTAGAACCTTATGGGTGATCAGAGGGGCCGATGGTACATACTGGTTGCCGCACTTCTGTCAGTGTGCCCCAGGGCAGCTCCAACTTCAGTTGGTTTTTTTACCACCGTGTTTGGAGTGAAAGAATAGAGCTGTGTGAAGCATATTACAGTGTCTAAAGAACCGCTATAGAAAACCGATGAATTATTTATTATCATTATTATTATTATTATTATTTATGTTGACCTCAGGTAACAGAAAGGAAATCAATACTGCATTAAAACCATTATTAGAAAACCATCACTTCATTTGTTTTGTCTGCTTATCGGCTCTTCCTTAAAGATGATTTTGTTTACCAATCCAGCTGATGATGATACAAGTTGAACAACTATGAAACTGGATTTGATGAACAGTATTCTCACTGATAATGTGATGGTTCTTTTTTGTTTTTGCTTGTTCATTGCATCTCTATGTCATGACAGTTGATTTTTTCGGTCGTATGTATTTCCACTCCTAAAAAGATCACTTAAACATAGCATCAATGTTATAAGTTCAGCACAAGAAAACAAGCAGAAGACGACAGACCTGCCGCGATTATCATTACCAAAAAACAAATTAAACGTTTTCTCGGCTAGATCAAATATAGATTTTGCACTAGATGGGATACTGAATACTGTCTGTATTTCTTATAAGATCAACCAGTGGTAAAATGTGGAAGTTTGATTCTATTAAGTGCACATGATTGACACGGCTATAAAAAAATGACGACTGCCGGACAGGACAAAATATGATCAATAATCAACTTTTATTTGTAGAGCACCTTTCCTACACAAGGCAACACAAAGCGCCTCACAGCCTATATCACATCGTGCATAAATCATAATGCATGATGTGATATGGGTAGTGCTATTGTAGTATTCATGAGGAGGATTAATAGTGCAATAGTACACTTGGATTATCCAACTTTAGAGTTAGCTGTACTGCAAACCTTTCATAATCATGCTTTTTTTCTCTGTAATAAAGTAGATTGTACTAATTTGATATCGCGACAGGCCTCACACGCCATTGTAATGACACCTATAAAAAACATTCTGTACTTTAATCTAAAGAAATGCGTGAAGAATTTTGTGTGGCAATTGGCATACATTGCAGTGAGCTGTAAATTAGAACATGCAAAGATCTGGGGGACAGGAGCCGCAGTACCCCCCCTCCCCCACAGGTGGCTTCACCTTTCCTGGCTCTCTGGGACTGCAAGAATCTCTACTGTTATTGTTGATGGGGGTATGCCTTCTCCGAGTGAACGTTCTAGTTTCTACAGTAATGACAACAGGAGATCCGTTGTCAAGGAGGAGATTACCCCAGTAACTACATTGAAGTCAAGCCAGAAGTCTTAAATGTATAGGTCATGCCTATGCATATATAGTCAAATGTTTCAAACCACCAGATATGAGGGAGGAAGAGTGCCACATGTCAAAGCTAAATAACCCCTTAAAAAAGGAAAGAAAACAAGCAGCATTGAAAATATAACGTTCCATCAGCATCAACTTAAATGACATCTTAAAGGACACCTTGGATTGCATTAAAATCTAGTTATTAAGTGCTGTAACTAATTAGGATCATATAGATTTGTTTGAAAAGAATGCTTTAAGTGTAAACCCTTGGTGGACTTTAAGAAAATTATTAAAAATTGAAGGGAAGCAAGAAGATATTGAACATAAAGAAAACTGTAAATGAATTGGGCTGATTTGAAAATGCCAACCACCACGACGTGCAATAGGCCACAGACTGACGGGGGAGGGGCTGGTGACGAGGGGCCCCTGAGAGATCAGCGCGTCTTACCATCTCTGGCGCTGCTGGCAACAAGCGAACTCGTCTCTGGCATCCCCGTTTCACATGAAATTTGATGCATAATAACTGCGTTTATGAAGTTGGCCGCTGTCATGGTGGTCTTACCGAGTGCTCGGAGATCTTGTTCCTGAATGGACGTCGCTTTGTTTTGAGTCTTTTCCCTACTTGAAGTGCCACTTTCACCACGACCTGGAGGGTTATCCGACTGGGGTGGCATCGGGAGTCGACCCGATGCAGAGGAAGAGGGATAGTACATTCCTGATGGGTTATGGCTCAACAACTTGGGATCTGATTTATTTGAGAGTCCATGTTGCTCTGAGTGTTTGGGGATTCCTCTATTTTTGCTGCCATCACGACTCTGCTCTTTGGCAGAGTCCATACCCAGTGGAAAGGCCTCAGGTGGCAATCCAGCTCTGATGTGGCCAGGGTAATTCTGGTAACGTCCTGAGCCAGGGGGCATGGATCTGGAATGGGTGAGCAATTTAAACAGAGACATCAGATGAGAAATTTAAAACATATTATTCAATCAATAAAAAAACCAACCGCAGAACAGACGAACTGTTGTGATCACTAACAGACAGACTCTTGCCCCCTGTGTTATGTAAGACACTGGGCCGCTGCTGGACGTTCTCCTGATTCCGTGGAGACACAGGGGAGTGCTGGTGGCTGTAGGGCTGAGAGGACGACCTAGATCCACTGCTGCTGCTGCCAGCAGAGTGCTCCGTACCTGGGGTCAATTCAAACAATAATATCTAAGTAAAACAGTAATATCAGCAATAATACATGTAATAACTGCAGAAACAAAAATGTTGACTAAATACCGGGTCGCCAAATGGGTGCATGCTCTACAACTCCATGAGAGCTTTTCTCTCGTTCTCTGTCTCGGTCTCTCTCTCTGTCACGCTCACGCTCCCTTTCTCGCTCGCGCTCAGAAGACGAACTTTGCATCTTGTTCATGTGAGATGAACCAACTGGGGAGATAGAGGACTACATTTAAAGTATTCTATACAGTATTTACTGGGAAACAATGTAAAGAGTTTAGAAAATACCTGGTGAGATGGGAGAGGTGGTGTAAGGCCTGCCAGGGAATGAGGCACTCGTCCCAGGCAAGTATGTGATGCGCTCCATTGGAGAGCCTCCTCCTCCTTGGGCTGGAGGTACGAGGACATTTAAGTGTGGATTCACCTGAGACAAATCAAGAATAGCTGCAGAAAGAAATGGAAGACTGTCATAAGCAGATCTGGAGTAGAATTAAAACAGTAATACAACTGTGAAGGTATAAGCAGAACTTTAAAAGACTTCAAGAGCTTTGATCTTACCACGTGGTGGTGTGGTGTAGGGTAAGGGCAGCTGGTCTCGTGGAGCAAGGCCTCGAAGGAGATCTGAGCGCTGGGCAGCCATTGCAGCCGCCGCAGGCCACTGGTGCATTTGCTGAGAGGTGATGTAATCGTTGAACAAAGTTTGACGATTCTCTAAAGCTGCAGTGTCAGGGAAGCCTCGGATGAGGTAGGGGTAAGGGTGAGGGTACGCTGGATTCGGTGTGAGGTGCCGTGGCAAGTAGTAGGCCGCTATAAAGAAAACATAACCATTTTGTTGGTTTAGAACGTGGTAGATTTAACCAGGTCCTGCTGAGATTCATAATCTGCATGTGAGTATGTGCGTGTGTGTATATGTGTGAGTGTGTGTTGTCTGTGGGTTGTTTGGGGTGAGTCTCTTAAGGTGGTTGATGAGTCCATTTTTTTTTTTTTACCTATAAAGCACCATATTTAGTTTAGCCAAGTTTAGTTTACAGAACCATTAGTCTTTACAAAAGAAGAGATGGTTTGCACCAGATTTAGCTACAGCTACTTTTACATTCCTGTATGAAAATAGCTTTATGTAATAGATTGATTGATCTTTTAGGTAAGTCAGAGAGGGGAGGAGCTTATAGCACATGGTTTTAGTGGTAGGGGAAGCCTGCATAGACATGGGGAGAACATGCAAACTCTGCAGAGAGTTGAACCCATCTAACCGAGAAAAGAGCACAAACTCCTGTACCACCAAAACACATCACTTTCATATGAATCTTTGGCATAAAATAAGATGGTCTTTTGTAAAAAGAACAATACATAAACAATGATTGCCACTGAACTAGGTATGGTATGCTTATGTTTCTACTGAATAAAGTACCATGGTATTCTTACCTGGGTCGATAGAGATGCCACGGGGAATAGTTGAAGGATCGAATTGTAGAGGGATCTGGCGGTACACCTCAGCAGCCCCCAACCCTTGCAGAAGACGTTCATAGGCCTGCTGGTCTGGGAGTGGAGACTTTGTGGTGTTCATCTCTCTCGGAGATGGTGTGGTCTTCCTCTCCTGAGACGGATTCTTACTTGAACCTAAAGCAAGAAATAAAAACATTTTGGTTTAGATAGAAGATTATTATGCATTCTTTATGTCTTTATGCTTCAATCTAATGACGTCTATGTACCATCATGCTGCCTCTGTCCTCCCTCCCTGGACAGTGGAGACCCCCGGTGTGACGGCGCAGGATAACTGCTCCGTAAAGGGCCCTTCTCATCATACCCCACAGGACTGTGGTGAGATTTACCCTGGTCTGCTCCCAGAGTGAGAGGTGATGAACGGGCCATAGAACTGGCTGTGCTGACCACAGCACTGGGACGGCTCTTAGGGGCCTCTTCATATCGAGCCCTCTCCCCACGGATATCCATGTGTGAAGGAGTAGTGTGGTAGGAGCGTGGAGAACTAGCAATAATAGAGCGGACATCATGGCGCTTTCCTGAAGCAGGAGAGTCTTGTTTCACAGGAGCCACCTGAAAATGATGGGATTGGAGCAGAATGATTTTTAATTAACAAAATGACATATTCAATATTTAATCAGATACAATGATAGGATACCTGAGGTATAATTCCTTCCTTGGGAATTAAATGGATAGAGCGCCCAGGTTCTTTCACAGTAGGAACCATTGGATCCCTGCTCTTCAGTGGGTCAGACAGGGACCCCGGGGCACGGGGCGGGGACGCTTCTCGCTTCATCTGTTTAGCCTCTCTCCTCAGGTAACCATCCTGAGGGTCCAGATGACGAGGTATGCCTGAAAACATAAATGTACGTCGTAGAGTTTGAAAATTGGTTATGTCTGGGTTGTTAGAATTGAATTAAAAAAAAGGTACTGATGAATTGTCTTTTTTTAATCCCTTTCTTTTAATGATTCAATTGGTTATTCTCCCTTACCTTGAGAAATAGAACCCCGGTTATGAGGGGTATCTTTATAAGGTGTGTGGTGTGGGCTGTCTCTGTCATGAGGCAGCGCTCGACCAATCAGGCCTACGGCAGAGAAGAGAACAGTACAGTTACATGTGACACGCTGACGGGGTTATTTTGTGGGCATGAACAGGAGGGTTTGTCACCTTCACAGTTGGCAGCAGACAGTGAGTCCCTGATGGGCAGCCCTCTGCTAATGCCTCCCTCCATGACGTCATAGGCACGCTTGAGCCCCGGAACCTCAGCTGCACCTCTGCTCTCATCTTTAGGTGGCTGGGATGGGGGGCCTGAACAACAAAACAGTTTTCCTTTTAGATAATAACTGCTGACCTTTTATAATCACTCGGCGTGAGACAAGACCCAATTACCCCTTTGGCTTACAAACTATTCTGCAGACTAAACCCATCATCTCTTTAATATCAAGTATATTGACATGACTTTTATTTAACATTATTTGATTATTAGATTAGGAATTTATCCTGCACTTGCATCTGTATTTGTGAGTGTGCAATGGCGTTCCAAGGGTACCCGGGGGCCCCAGGCAACAGAGTCCTTGAGGGGCCCGATACCGACCACATAACCAGGTATTGTAATCCTACAAAATCTAATCTGTCCTTTGGCCCTTGATGTTAATATATAAACACTGAGGGCCAAATGAAAGATTAGGCTCTTAGCTTTAATCTGCAAAAAACAGCATAGAATATAATATATATAGTTTAATCCAAAATTAAGGTCTCACTCAGATTTGAACCCGGTCATACTGGCACAAGCGCTGCAACTTAACCACTAGACCACTATGACATACTACACTTCATTGACTACATGCAGGGTTTTTAAGTGTGGTAAGTTTTGCATCAGACGAGAAGGTTTTATCCGTCAAGTAGTCACTGCAGGTAGCTGTTGTAACTAGTTCAAGTCGACCACTTGTGTCAAATCAGTCGGCCTTTGGGGACCCCCGGCCGGTTTGGGGGCCCCAGGTAGCGGCCTGCCTCGCCTGATGGCAAGGGACGCCTCTGGAGTGTGTGTGCAACAATATAGGGCAACAAACTTGCATAAACTGTACTTATAGGCATGTTTTACCAGGCGTTTTAGGTCTAAATGGGTTAACACAATAAATCTCATTGGACATTTGAGAAGCAAGCATGAGAAGGTGTACAGCGATTGCAGTTGAAGAAAAATGAAAAACTGAAGCCACCAAGAAATATATAATTATAAATAACAAAAAGAAAAAACATCGGCTAACCATCGGTCAAGTTGTTATGTTAAACATCGGTATCGGCCAAAATATCTGTGCATCCCTACAATAAACATATCAGAATCAGAATCAGAATCAGAATCATTTTTATTGCCACGTAAGTAACAGGAGGTCACAGACTAGGAAATTGCTTTGGCTCAGTGCAACAGTCAAAAAGAGATAATAAAAATAAGAATAAAAAACACTTCTAAAGAATAAATTTAAATTTAAAATAGAGTTACAGTTACTATTTACAATATACAAGTGCACATGGTGCACACAATGTAAGGTGACAGCAGTACAGTGAAGTAAAGTGACGTATGATGGGCAGTAAAGTGACTTTATAAAGGGCGGGGGGACAGGTTAAGAAGTGTTCAAGAGTCCAACAGCAGAGGGGAAGAAACTGTTCTTGTGGCGGGAGGTTCTAGTCCTGATGGACCGCAGCCTCCTGCCTGAGGGGAGTGGTTGGAATAGTCCATGTGCAGGGTGAGAGGGGTCGGCTGTGATACGACCAGCCCGGCCTCGAGCTCGGGCGACGTACAGGTCCTGCAGCGATGGAAGGCTGCGGCCGATCACTTCCTCTGCAGAGCGCACAATGCGCTGTAGTCTCTGTTTGTCCCTGACTGTGGCTCCAGCGAACCACACGGTGACGGAGGAGGTGAGGATGGACTCGATGATGGCCGTGTAGAACTGCACCAACATCTGTGCAGGCAGCTTGGCTTTCCTGAGCTGCCGCAGGAAGTACATCCTCTGCTGGGCCTTCTTGATGAGGGAGCTGATGGTCGGCTCCCACTTGAGGTCCTGGGTGATGGTGGTGCCCAGGAAACGGAAGGACTCCACAGAGGTGATGGGGGAGTCCATCACAGAGGGTGGGGGCGGGGGGACAGTGCTCTTCCTGAAGTCCACAATCATCTCCACTGTCTTCTGGGCGTTCAGCTCCAGGTTGTTACCACTGCACCAGGACACCAGCCGGTCCACCTCCCTCCTGTAGGCGGACTCCTCGTTGTTGGAGATGAGTCCAATGAGGGTGGTGTCGTCCGCGAACTTGATCAGATTCACGGAGTCGTGGCTGGAGGTGCAGTGGTTGGTGTACAGGGAGAAGAGCAGGGGAGAAAGAACACAGCCCTGTGGGGCTCCTGTATTTATAATCCGAAAGTCCGAGACATTCTTCCCCAGACGCACTCGCTGCTTCCTGTCCGTCAGGAAGTCTGTGATCCACCTGCAGGTGGAATCGGGCACGTTGAGCTGGGAGAGCTTGTCCTGGAGCAGGGATGGCAGGATTGTGTTGAAGGCAGAGCTGAAGTCCACGAACAGGACCCTGGCGTAGGTCCCCGGGGAGTCCAGGTGCTGTAGGATGTGGTGGAGGGCCAGGTTAATGGCGTCGTCGACAGATCTGTTGGCTCTGTAGGCGAACTGCAGGGGGTCCAGGAGGGGGGAGGTGAGGGACTTGAGATGGGAGAGAACCAGGCGTTCAAATGACTTCATGACGACAGACGTAAGTGCTACAGGTCTGTAGTCATTGAGTCCTGTGATCCTGGGCTTCTTCGGGACGGGGACAATGATGGAGGATTTGAAGCAGGCCGGGACATGGCAGGACTGCAGAGAGGTGTTGAAAATGTCCGTGAACACAGGAGTAAGCTCACTGGCGCAGTGTCTCAGAGTGGCCGGAGACACGTGGTCCGGGCCAGGAGCTTTGCGGGGGTGCAGCCTCAGGAAGAGTTGTTTAATCTCTTTAGCGGCTATTGTTAGGCTGGGGGCAGGGCTGATGGGTGGGTCGTTAGAGTAGTGGGGGGTGGGGGAGGGAGAGGTGTCAGGGGCAGCATCAAAGCGACTGAAAAATAAGTTCAGATCGTCAGCTAGCTTGTGGTCGTCAGCACAGGGGGGGGCTTTGGGTTTGTAGTTGGTGATCTCCCGTAGGCCCCTCCAGACAGAAGCAGTATCGTTGTTACCAAACTGCTCCTGTAGACGTTCTCTGTGCCGGGACTTGGCTGCTTTCAGTTCTCTCCTGAACTGATATTTAGCTGCTTTGTAGCCGCTGCGGTCCCCCTCCCTGAAAGCAGACTCCTTTGCTTTCCTGAGCTGCCGGAGTTTAGCAGTGAACCAGGGTTTGTCGTTGTTATAGATGACCCTGGTCCTTGTTGGAATGATGCTATCCTCACAGAAGTGAATGTATGACGTCACAGTGTCCGTATATTCATCCAAACTATCTGTGGCAGCTCTGAAAAGGTCCCAGTCTGTAGATTCCATGCATGCGCGCAGCTCTTCCACAGCTTCATCAGACCACACTTTGGAGCTCCTCATTGCAGGTTTCGAGAGCTTTAGTCTCTGTCTGTAAGCAGGAACCAGATGTATCATGGAGTGATCTGAGAAGCCGAGGGCTGGCTTGGGAACAGCGCGAAAAGCTCCGCGCACGGTGGTGTAACAGTGATCCAGAGTGTTCTCCTCTCTGGTCGGGCATTTGATAAACTGTCTGTATTTGGGTAATTCCTGGCTCAAGTTTCCCTTATTAAAATCCCCCAGGATAATAATCAGAGAGTCTGGGTATAAGCGTTCCATACACAGTACTTGCTCTGCGAGTGCGCGCTGAGCCTCGCGCGCGTCCGCGCATGGCGGTATGTAAACAGAGGCAAGAATGAATGAAACAATTTCGCGCGGGGAGTAATATGGTTTACAATGAATGAAAAGATATTCCAGAGCAGGAGAGCAGTGCTTGGAGATCACTGTCACATCGTTACACCAGTTTGTATTGACGTAGAAACACAGCCCACCGCCTCTGCTCTTCCCTGAGAGCGCACAATGGCGATCCGCGCGGAACAGCCCAAAGCCCTGCAGCTCCAGAGCGCAGTCCGGGATCCGCTCATTTAGCCAGGTCTCAGTGAAGCAGAGGACACAGGATGTGGCGAAGTCCTTGTTTCTTCTCATGAGCAGGCTGAGTTCGTCCATCTTATTGCCCAGTGAGCGTACGTTGGAGAGAAAAATGCCGGGGAGAGCCGTGCGCGCTCCTCTCCTCCTAAGACGCACGAGCAGGCCTCCGCGCTGTCCCCTTTTACGGGCCCACACTTTTTTGGCTAGAACATGAACTAAATCAGCCGCAGATGCCAAGAAAACAGGCAATAGGTCCATGGGAACGGTGGGTCGGATGTTCATAAGTTCCTCACGGGTGTAGGAACAGCCAGATGCACAGTTAAAAAGTAAAAACAAAAGAAAAAGAGAGCAGCAAAGAGCCATGTCGACCGTACGAGGCGCCATCTTTGAAAGGAATACCAACATCATCAACATAAAAGCATAAATATAAATATTCTCAATATGTTATACCAGCAACTGAATGAGAAATGTTTTGGCCAATATTGATCAATAACAAAATAAAAAGGATTTTAGGTGACCCTTATCTGAATAACCATTGGGAGGACTCTAAACTACAACTAAACTGTTTGAAAAGGTGCTTTGATGTTGTGGCGCAAAATCTACCCATCTTACCTATCCTTAATGATACTGATAATAAACCTTTTAAAAATACATTTAAAATGACATTACTCCACATTACAATAACAAAACAAAGCATGTAAAGCATCTAAGTCATGTTTGTAGATTGCAACAGCCTTGAGTTCTATAATCTTCACTATTTAAATGGTTGCACTAGAAACCATTCCAAAGCAGCAGTACTCACGATCATAAGTAAGAATGTGTCCACTGATGCCCTCATAGAGCACATGGCCCTTGGAAAGCGCCTCGTCCCGCTCCCTTTCAGTGCGGTTGGAGCTGTCCTCCGTGATCAGACGAGTGATGGTTCCTTTGTACAACACATCGGCTGGCGTGCCCTGTGAAAAAGAAATTCAAGTATTACCCTGCCATTATCGTACGTACGAAAAGGTGTAACAACATATATTGTAAAGAACTGTCAAATCTTATACATTCAAAATTAATATTCTTCCTCTGGTCACTGAGGTCAATGGTAAATGTCTTCAGTGTCTATTTATTTATTTATTAAGATCAAGAATTAAGATTTGTTTATGCATGCTTTTATATCTGATTGATTGACTGATTGATATCCATTGTTTGCTTTGGTATATGGTGCAAAAACGGTATAAAAAAGTTTATAGTTTGTGACTTCCTGTTACTTACAGTACCAATACAAATAATTCTGATTCTGATGAAAATCAAATTAGTCTACTGTCAAAATGCAATTTATTTCTAGTATTGTTTAGGCAATAATTCACATATCCCTAAATCACAACAGCAGGTTGTCAATTCACAAACAACAGATCAGAGAATCGAACAGTTCAAACACAGAAAATGCACTTAGCAACCACATGGATGTATTATATTAACTGGATAGGGTATTACTAGCTTGTAGCTGAATAACTCACGTGCTCAGGGGATTCTCGCGGTACTGCAGACTGAACCAGACTAAATTCACGTGGGCTACCCAGAAATTTTCCCCATAGAACTCAATGCATATTAAAACAGCTCGACCTCAGCTGACAGAGAACCTACAGCTTTCATAAAGATCGGATTTTGTGGGGATTTTAGTGTCCCTTGTCATCCTGAACTTTTTTTCTTCTTAAATCCTTCGGTTTTGTTTAATTCCACACTTTAGTGCCACAAACTCTGCCCGTCTGGCTCTCGCTCTAACTCCCGCTCTGATGAACTGCTCTGATTGGTCAGAGCGCGGCCGAGCCCCTCTGTGCACGTGCGTGAGACCCGGTGTGAGACCCACACACGCGTGTTTGGCGCAACGCATTATGGGAGATCATCCACTGCGCAGAACCGGGAGGACCAGACGATGCCCAAATACAGGCGAGTTTCCCATAGATCTTTGCGAGTTTCAGGCAACTTCCGCTAATCTTTCAGCCCCCATGCTGTCACAAAGCGCCACTGAGCACAACCATTCATTTGAATAGGGCGCCATCTTGGATCGCCGGGGCTTGAGCAACCATTGGTCCATAGGGGCGGGCAGCAGGAATGTCATAAAGATAAAGGAGTACGATAACTATCTCTCTGGTGTCACCTATAAGTAGAGGTTCAGCCAACATAACTGCCTAATACAAAGTGGAGTAAATAAGCAGTGTAAAAAGCCGTGGGCCGGGGACAGTTGGACGTGTTAATGCAGTAGGCATATCATGAGTAGGCTTAGTGATCCTCAATGCAAGAAAATGGGGATAAATAAGTCATCTTTATTTATATACCGCCTTTTCACTGCACATCAGAGTCTCAAAGCGGTTTACAATTGTTATTTTTTGGGAGTGGGGGTGCCAGTACAGGAGGCACATGCCAGACCTATTGTACATATTTTTAGTGGTAGGGGAAACCGGAGCACCCGGAGGAAACCTACGCAGACACGGGGAGAACATGCAAACTCCACTCAGAAAGGCCCTGGTCCAACCGGGATTTGAACCCAGGACCTTCTTGCTGAGAGGCGAGAGTGCTATCCACTCAGTCACCGTGCCGCCCGACAGCAACATACTGGTACAGTATGTTGCTGTCGTCATGGTGACATATTAGTCCAAGAAAAGTATGAAATCAAATATCACTAAGTACCAAAAGTGTCAACAATCCTTTATGTCAAAAAGAAGTGGAACAACTACAAACTTTAACACAATTCACTGTTGTGGGTAATACAACGTATACAGGTAAAGCAAGTGTGTGTGTGTGCAAAAACTTTAGAACCCACCTTAGTGATAGACCCTCCTCTGTAAGAAACTGGTTCTGGGTGCATTCTGGTGCCTGGGATGCCCTTGGTAATACTGCCTCCCTGCACAGCTGAATGGGAACCTACAATCATGTAATAAAGTTAAATGGGCGCTCTGCACTGATAGTGCATAATAGGCCAATAGTAATAATCCTATCCTTACCTCGTGCATTGTCATGGGAGGCCCCCTGGAATGACTCAGCCTGAGATAAGCTACGAGGGGACAACTGCTCCTGCTTCACCACTGGATAAGCCCCTGAGGTGAGTGGGAGACAAGAGAATATGAAGCCAATTGAAGACTGTTTGAATGTGAAAATACCAAAATGATTAAACATATGACCAAAAATCTTCCAACTCACCGGTTTTCCTTGGATCAACCCAAGACATCTGCGATGAGGTTGCTTTACTGTGGTCATAATTGTGAGCCGGGCTGTGGAGTTGTAGAGGTGTGCCCTGAATAATAAAGGAAGGAAGATAGGACAACATAAGAAGACATATAAAGATGTGTACGAGGGAATTTCTTTTAAATACTGGTTAGTATTTCCAGTTTTCTCACCTCTGATATTGAACCTCCCGGTTTGCTGGATGAAATAAGAGGCGGTGGCTCTGGCATTGCCATTGGTCTAACTGTGGCTAACCGGCTATCTTGGGACAAACCAACTGCAGAGTGGCCTGACTGCTGAAAGGCTGAATGAGAGAGTGTGTCAAAGTTAAACTCAGAAATCCAATCAGCAAACTAAACAATTATGTGACATGCTTACAGTTGTAGTGAAGCAGATGCTGGTCATGGGTTATCTTGGCCATGTCGCGAGGGGACACTGGGTAGGAAGACATGACGGGACGACCTAACGTGGACATCCTGAGGTCATCGGGGGCAAGTGCCTGCTTCTTAGCTTCACTGTGAGGGGAATAAGATCTGGACTTCTCTGCAATTTAAATATTTAAAAAATAGGTCAAAGCAGAACTTGAACTACTTCCATATGTATACTTAAGTTAAGATTGCCGATAAATTCCCTGTAATGCTGAACACACAAACTTTTAAACTCCTTAACCTGATTTGTCCAGAGCAAGATTAGAACTGATAAATGAAGTGCACATGTCCGATAGAACTGAACTACTCAAATTTAACACGCTTTTCTACTAACCTGTAGTTTAATGCCTGAAATGAAAAATACACCCCTTAATGATTTGATAAGATCAAGTTTCAGGTCTTATAAATGCTTTTCCAATGGCTAAAAGTGAACTATTTTTCCTTCTGGGTCAATAGCAATACCAGATCATTCATCAGCCCACCTTCAGGAGTGTCCCAGAAACACATGAAAACTCACCATGCTTCGATTCAAGGTTACAGTAAAGTGGATCATAAGGTGCTAAAAATATATTTGACACTAAAACCCCTGAAGACTAGCTTTGGTTTTTGTTTACAATTTGGCAAATATCATGTTTTAATATCAACATATGTCACATGAAACACATAGTACAACCTCTGATTGTGCACTCCAAGCCTTTTCTAGATAATCCTTTTCTGGACCAAAGTCTATTGACTCAACCCTTACAGGAACTGAGAATTTTCCTACCATCCTTGTCACTGCTTGAAGGACTGCGTGGGCGAACACGAGGGCTGCTTTCACGCTCAGCCTGTGGGGGGTACTGCTGCCCTTTGCCTGGAGTGACCAGGGCCTGCTGCGAGTCCTGAGAGGACTCCCCGTGAGCTCGGGTGATCTGCCGCTGGAACAGTTCATAGGCGTGGGGAGGAAGTGCCGTCTTGCCAGGACCACAGCGCTGATTGCCTTGCACTGAAGCCTCAGGCATCTACAGACAGGGGCAAAGCCATGGGTATTGTATACAGGGGAGACAGAGACACAAGCACAGCCCTGTCCATCCTGACATATGGTGTGTCACAAGCAGTGTCTGATCACAATGATAGCCAAAACAGCTCCTGTTTCTAAGTAATTATCCTTACAGCGTGCTCTCTCGTTACTTTACCGCAGAAAATTAGGTTATCCCGCTCCACTTAGAAACAATTTGAATTCATACTTCTAATATATACATTGGGGCAACAAAGTATTTAGTGAGCAACATATTGTGCAAGTTCTAAAAGATGAGGGAGGCCTGTAATTTTCATCATAGGTACAGTATACCTCAACTGTGAGATATGAGGTTGAGATCTGGAGACTGGCTAGGCCACTCCAGGACCTCGAAATGCTTCTTACAAAGCATCTTCTTCGTTGCCCGCGCGGTGTGTTTGGGATCATTGTCATGCTGAAAGACCCAGCCACGTTTCTTCTTCAATGCCCTTGCTGATAAAAGGAGGTATTCAAAACATCACGATACATGGCCCCATTCATTTGTTCTTTTACGCGGATCAGTTGCTCTGGTCCCGTTTCAGAAAAACAGCCCCAAAGCATGATGTTTCCACCCCCAGGCAAGTAGGTATGGTGTTCTCTGCACTGGCTTCCTGTGGCTCAGAGAATAGACTTTAAAACAGCTCTGCTTGTGTACAAGTCTCTCCATGGCCTCACACCAAAATATATTAGTGACATGTTAGTCCGATATGAACCAGCCCGGACTCTGAGGAGCACAGAGACTGGACTCCTGTTAGTGCCCAGAGTCAGAACTAAACATGGGGAGGCTGCTTTTCAGATTCATGCTGCTAAAATCTTCCTGAAGATGTGAGACAGGCCTCCTCTCTGACAAAGTTTAAAACCAGGTTAAAAACAGTTCTGTTTAGCTATACATACAACTGATGTATTTTATATTTTTATCTTTTTTTTTATGTACTGTGATTATTTATGCTATTTTAATTCTATCTTGTTTTGTTCAGCACTTTGGGTTGCCTAGTGTATGAAATGGGCTATACAAATAAACTTGCCTTGCCTTCTTTGGATGCAACTCATCATTCTTTCTCCTCCAAACACGACGAGTTGAGTTTTTACCAAAAGTTATATTTTGGTTTCATCTGACCATATCCTCTTCTGGATCATTAAAGTGCTCTCTAGCAAACTTCAGATGGGCCTGGACATGCACTGGCTTAAGCAGGGGGACACATCTGACACTGCAGGATTTGATTTTGTTACTTTGGTCCCAGCTCTCTGCAGGTCATTTACTAGGTCCCCCCGTGTGGAACTGGGATTTTTCTCACGTTCTTGTGATCATTTTGACCCCACGGGGTGAGATCTTGCATGGAGGGTTATCAGTGGTCTCGTAGGTCTTGCTCCCACAGTTGATTTCTTCACATCAAGCTGCTTACCTATTGCAGATTCAGTCTTCCCAGCCTGGTGCAGGTCTACAATTGTGTTTCTGGTGTCCTTTGACAGATCTTTGGTCTTGGCCATAGTGGAGTTTGGAGTGTGACTGTTCGAGGTTGTGGACAGGTCTCTTTCAGACATATATATAACATACTGTTCAAACAGGTGCCATTAATACAGGTAACGAGTGAAGGACAGATGAGCCTTTGAAAGAAGGAGTTACAGGTCTGTGGGGGTGCCAGAAATATTGCTTGTTTGTAGGTGACCAAATACTTTGTTTGTTTCCACCATAATAAGCGTTATCTTTTTATTTTTATTTATGAGACTAAATACTTTTGCCCCACTGTATCAAGTGATCAGTATTATTAGAAACCCCTCAGGTGTAAATAGATACTCACAATGGGTGGTATAGCTGCAGCCCTTTGTTTGAGCTGCTTCAGGTCCATTGGTTTCTGCAGCGGCGACGATGTAACCCCATCGTGAGAATAGTTGAGTAAACTTGGCCTTGGAGAGGTGATCCTGGCAAAAGGAAAAGAACTTTATTGTAAACATTTACATAATGTAATCTCACTAGCGTAGCTCACTCAATTCTAACACAAGTACAAACATTTCAACATAGAAAGTATGAAATCAAAACCGCTCTGATGTTATGTAGCACTTTTTTTTTTTTAAAGGTGTCGTTGCATTATAGTAATCAGAAAGACCCTAACCCTAAGTCATAATCATCAAAACCTCATGAAATAAATGTTTGTGCATTTGCCAGATCTTAAGCAATAAGCAGACAAGAGATCACTTGAGATTTTTCTGACAAACATGTTAGAACTTAAACCCTCTGTTATCATTATACAATGAAGTACAACAAAGACATAGCTATCAAATGGATGTGTTGTCCTGTGATCCAACCTGACCTGCACGTTTTTAGTGATAGGGGAAACCGTAGCACCCAGAGGAAATCTATACTGGCACAGGGAGAACATGCAAACTCCACTCGGTAAGGCTGAGTTGGAGTTGAACCCAGGACCTTCTTGCCGATAAGTGGGACCTTGTGACATTTCACCTTATGAATGTCAATAAACTACATTTTGGGAGAACTGAATATGTACGTGATGCTTTTGCTGTTGTGATTTCTCTTATGGATGCATCACATGACTTTCTGATTTATTCATTTGGAAATTGTCACATTTTGATTTGATCGCCATTGAGCCTTGCAGCCCTATTTTGTAACATTTGGTTTGAGGTTTAATGAAGTCAACACAATTCCGAAGCTTTGTTCCTGCATGTAGACCAGACGTTGCAAACCACCATATCTGATGAAGACTATTGTATACATGTTTGAGGCACACTCAAGTTATTCATGGTGATTTCTATCCGTCCCCTATGTTGTCCTGTTTGCATTGTGGGCCCTAAAATAACTGTTGCAAAGTGTAAGTGAACTGGCCGCTAGGGGGCAGAAGTGAACAAAGAAAACATTCCTAAAACAAGCAGCAGAACAGATTAACGGCAGATAAACAGCTATTTCCCTGTTTGGCAAGTGTTGTGATCGCCCGCAGCTATTATTTAACAAAACAGCATCTTTGGGATGCATGAGAGTAAACAATCCAACAAGTCTCACGTGGCACTAAGGCTTTCTAAATGGCTAATCAACTTCAGAAAACGAATACTATATGTTAAAATCATCCAATGTATTTTTAAACTAGGAATAAATACACCCAATTTGGTTGTTGACCCAAGTTAAATTAGAAAGAAAAACCGCGCAGCACTCGTCTGTGAACACATTCACAAATCACATAAGCAGGTCACACATCTGAACGACATATCTTTATCATATGACGATCGAGATATGAACTGTCAAGATATTATTAATATATACAATATGTTTTTATATTTTTATTTGTTATCACCAAACCCCTAGTTATTTTGTGTCACATCGGTATTGAGATAACTGGCATGAATATCGAGAGATGATGATTATATTGTATATTATATTAAAATTATATCAAAATATCAATAATGGTGGCGCCACCTGCATGTGAAAGCCAGATCCCATCAGACCTCTGAAGCGATACAAGGCAGAGCCTGGCTAGTACTGTGATGGGAGACCTTTGGGAACAACAGGTGCTGATGGCACATAAAATTTGCCTTGCTTCTGTCAGTCTGCACCAGGGAAGCCGGGAAGCGCTAAATAAAACAGATGCATTAAAATGCTTATTATCATTATTATAGCAAATTGTCTAATTTTGTGAAAATGGTGGGAACTTTTAATGCATATGAAAATCACATATAAAGGGCCCCTGAATATGAATAAGTGCAACATGGCTTTGCACATCTGTCACAAGAACAGTATCACAGCTCCACTCAGATACACACTCAGTGCCTTTGTTTGCTTTGGCAGAGGGGGTAGCTTTCCCTCAGCTCTGCCAGTACACGCAGTCTGCTGTCATGGAAAAAATTGAACAAATACCATGCAAATAAGACTAATCGCTCCTCCCACACACTTTAACACCCATTTGTGTGCCCTCATTCAACAGACACATGCAGCCTGAGCGTGTAGAAAAAGATAACGACATCCTATCAGCACATTGAAACACACATAACATTCAGTTTGAAAAGCATCTCGAAGCGCAAATGTCTTGTCAAAGACAGCTTCTCTGCCAGAGACTGTAGCTAGGCAACAAAACACTTCAAAATCCTCATTCAGCTGTGGTAAACCTGGCAAATAATAGAGAAGAGGCCAACATGAAGCCACAAGACCTTTGACACAGAAAGAACCATTCAATGCCTAGAGCAATAAATTTAAGATGGGTTTTATGCCAACTGGGATAAAAAGCTCTATCAATTGTCACCGTGTTTTATATAAAATACAATCTCACAATTCTTGTTATAATCTGCATTTTAAAGCAGTGAATAAAAAAAAACTTCAAATCAATTATTGTCAAGGAAGGGTTAAACTATAACCTTAAACAGTGAGGGAAGTGTGGTACTAAAATGTAAATAATTTGGTATTTGTAGCAAACCTTATGTAAAGTTTAACATTATTTATTGTAATATAGAATAACCAGTATTCTGTACCAGTATAACCAGTATAACTGTTAATGGGGTATTTAACAGAATAACATGTGCTTATTGATTAAAAGCAAAAATCCCACTACATAGAACCGTTATCAATCATGTGCAGGTATACAGTTTAAGATCTGACCAATTAACCAATTCTTTTAAAAACATTCCTTTAAAGCTAAAATAATGTATCCGCTAATATCTTACGACCCTGCAAACACATGCTGTTGTGGCCTTACCTGGACTTCTCGTTGCTGTCATTTTCCTCCACTTCATCAGCACTGCATGTGGCACTGGAGTCACTGTCTCTGTGAGAGCCTGCTTTGGCGCTGTGTTCCTTCTTGGAGCTTTTATTGGAGACCTTGGACTCCTCAATGTCTGTAGTGGGAGGCTTCTTGTCCTGTGTGTCACCACTGGCTGCTGCTTGAGGCTCCTTACAGCCTTCCCCAGTCTCAGTCTTTATCTCCAGTTTAACAGAGGCACCGGCATCCTCTTTGACGGCAGGCTTCTCATCCTCTGTCTGGGCTGAGTCTGAACCCCCCCCATCCTTTTCTGCACTGTTGGTGTTGGATTTTGACTTGCTTGTGCCCTCTTCCTTTGCTTTACAGTCCTCAGACGAATGTGGAGAAGGCAAACTTTCTGTGTCAGAGCTATTGTTGGCTCCACCTGCAAAAAAATACATTAAGATAAGCCACAAAGAAATTGTAACACAAAACCGTTTATATTCCTATGTCTTGAGCTATCCACTTTCCCTCTTGGTTTCAGCAAAACCATATTCTCCAGTGCCACTTTTCCTAGTCAGGTTTCACTGAGCAACAAAAAGGAACATAAAACCAGTTGTGATGATAGATGCCATCCCCTAGGGCTTTACCACTCTTTGTCAACACAGCACAGTATACACCAGCAACAGATGTACTACATTCACGACATTCAGGATACAGCCTGAAGAATGACCACGTCGATGGCAGAGACTGCTCTACCGCTTGGTATCCATTGGTTTATTGAGTTTTATCAGTAAAAGATGACAATACAACTTTGATCCAGCAATGGGTCATACCTTCTCCATCCTCAGGAGCCTCCTCTTCGTTACCGCTGCCCCCTGAACCTTCCATCTCTTCCTCTTCAGCCACAAACTGGGCATTTGCTTCCTCGCTTTGTGAAGCCTTGCCCCTACGCCGAGCCTTCCTCTCTTTTTCCTAAAAGGAAATCAAATCGGAGTGAAGATTGTTCGAATGGTAGTTAGGAATTATGTTTACTGATCTATTCTTACCGATTTCATTTTATGCTGCTGCAGAATCTCATCCAATTTCTGCCTTTTCTTGTAGTTGAAGTAGAAATTCTTGCACTGTGACACAGTTTTTGATCCCACCATCTTGGCGATGGCGGACCAATTCCTACCATATTGTAGAAGGCCTGAAAAATAAAAAAATAAAAAAATGTAATTCTACGTCCCAAAAAGGCCACAAAAATAATGCATCTGTACGATTCTAAAGCACATAGCCAAAGCCAAATCTAATCACAAATATATAAAAGGTTAAATGCTAAATGCAGCTTTGCCTGTCAGTCAGAGCAGTGACATCAGTGGCTCTTTCTAAGGTCACTCAGTGTCACATTTGGACTGACTTTGATGTGACCCAGTTCCAAGAAGCTGTGGTCCTGTACCCAGCCGAGCACATGACTGTGGCTTACACAAGAGTCTGCGTACGCCACTGGGCCTGAGCTGTGATAGATCAACCTGTCACCGCAGTGTGTGTGTGCATGTTTATGTGTGTGTATGTGCGCACGCACGCAAAAACAAGACATGTAGAGGGCACTTGGGTGTGTGTGTGTGTGTGTGTGTGCGCAAGTGCCAGTGCAAGTGCACTCCGGTGTTTCCCCCTGGAGTATGCTGTTAGCTAAAAGCAGCTCATTAACAGTGTGTGCTGTAAGAGGCTTAGCTTACACCACCCACTTGTTTCCTGTGCCAGCCTGACAGGCCTGGCACTATGGAGTAGTTATTAACAGGCAACCAGCAAGCACAGGGACAACCTTGGGCTTGGGTTCAGAGCTCTGTTCACCCCATCGCTTAAAAGACAACAATGGACTTTACTGCCTCGCCTCATCTCCAAAACTCTAATTGGAAAATGTTTATGATCACCAATATTGACCATAGTCGATAAAAATCTGAAATATATATTTTTTTGCATAACAATTAATTGGCTGGTTATAAAATAATTAAAAGGTTGATTTGACTATAAGTCTTGATTGTTATAGTGACAATAATTACATTGTAGAATGTTAGGACAACATTTAAAAACAAAGATTGAGAAAAATTTGCATTGGCAAATATGGCTTTAAATACCAGGCAATGTACTAATAATCTTAATTCATTTAATTGCCATGAATGTAGATTTTTTCAGTAAAACTAATTTACTTTAAAGTTCTACGATAAGTATTGCTCTATGCTATGACTAGCATAGCAGCTGTAGCCAAACACTACTATACCCACATGTACAGTAACTTTAAAAAGGGGAACTCAGTTGGCTCAAATCATCTGAAATATTAATCGTTTCCAGTGAAAGCTTTACAAGGAAAGCTTCCGTGGAAAAAGAAAAAAACAGTGTGAAATTCGTGTCCATATAAAATAGAAAGAATTCATGACCCACTATTCTGAAAAGTCAACAGTGGAGGGAGTCATGTATATCGTGGACAAACTCAACATGCCTAAAAGCCCATGCATATATAACACATATGCTTTAAGAAGCACTGTGCTGGAACACGCATGGATACTGAAATCATTTACCACAACTCAAAAAAAAATCATTTTACGACCTCTAATTGTGTCCAGTTTGTTCGCCTTTACGGGTACTCCACTGCTGTATATGCAGCATAATCCAAAGCAGCTCTACTTCCCTCAGTTGCCCAAGAAACACACATGGGACAATCCGCGAATCAGAAGCAACATTACTGAAGCTGGCGTTTCCTTCAAGCCAATTGGCAAAGTGCTATTTAGAAGCTCCTCCCAGAGTAAGTCCAATAAACACCTTGTGCAGCTAGAACGTGGTTGTTCCTGTTTGTCACATGCCTGTCAGCTCAGTCGTCGTCTCTGGGATCTTTCTGGACTTCACTATCAGATGGTCCAATCTCTGGAGGCCCAGTCAGGACACTCTTCGGGGCTGGGCCTTGCGATCCACTCTGAGCTCTTCCTGCCAGCTGGCCTGATACTTGAGCTGGTGTCAGGTTGACAGACTCCCAAGCAACGCATGCTTCTGGCCTCTCCCCTCCCCGTCTCGCTCTCCAAACTCTTGTGTTTAGTCAGGATTCAGCTCTTCTTCTGTGCCGTGTCTTTCCCCAATGGCGGTTGTCTGGGAAGACTTCCACAGGAAAGTGGAACTGTGGGGCGGTGCTCTGTGCTCAGCCTTGCTCTACCCTCATCTGATCTCTCCTATCTCTCCTTTCCCTCCTCCCTCCCTCCCTCCCTCGCTCGCTCACTCAGGCGCTTTGTCCCTCCCCCAGCTTTACTCTGTGAGCAGCACACACACACTCTAACCGTGCACACACAAAAACCAAACGCATGAGTGAGTAGACGCTCTGGTCTCTTGCTAATACTCAGTACACAAACGCAAACAGAGTCTCAGGTAGTCCCAGAGTAAACACTGCAGAGATACAGATCACACAGGCCGCACAGACAATAGACGAGGATATAAAAGTGACAACTAAGCACAGTGCAAATGAGCAGACAACTGAGGGAGCGCTGATGTTGATACCATGAGAAAGCAGAAAGGCTCTCACATTCTTCCTGACTGACCTGCTTTTCATCTTGAATGTGACCTCTCCCAAGTCCATAACAACACAGTGTGGGCAGCGGGAGTAAGTGGGGAAAGAGTTGCTTGCCAAATCTTCCATAGCGCCTGCCAAATTGGGCCATTGCCATATCCCACCCAAAAGTAGCTAACAGAAGAGTGAGTGATAGACTATAAGAAAGGAGGGAAAGACCATGAGAGAGAAGGGGAGAAAAGTCTGCCATTGTCCATTTCCTGCTTTTTGAAATTAGTTCTTGTAGGCAACCGAATAAGAGCAATTCAGAATGCGCACAAGTACAGACCAACTCAGAAATGCGCATGTACAAAAACTACCAGGAAGGATGCAAAAAGTAAACACACTCCTCTAAATCACTACCTGAGTGCTACCAGAAGAGCTAGTCAAGTTCTTAAATGGTCATTTATGAAAGCAAACAAATCTTTCTTATCTCCATATGCAGATCTTGACAATAAACACAACTTTTGTTCATATTTTTGACGTATTTGTAAGCACCGCATCCAACTGACTTGTGTTCAGAAAGGAAATCCCTTTTGTCAGATTTGGGTGTTTTAGTTAAAAGTGATGAAATATGGCAAAAGCAACTCCCTGGTTGCAGACATTTGTACTGTAACGGGGGCTGTTGTGCTTACATAAGCCCTTTATAGAAGTCTTGCTCCCACCAAGCTGCCAGGCTAATCCTCTGGGATGGAGTGCCCCACTAATCCCGCTGGAGGAGAATGGAACTGAAGACATTAACCAGGATTACTACACAGGACCATGTTTGAGTTAGGCTAGTGTCACTTATCATAAATATAACCAAGTCGCACGAGACATACAAATATGTCTCACTATTATATAGAGAGTGTCTTTGTATGTGGTCTTACAGCAAGAAAGGGGAAGCCAGGCAGTACAGTTTTCACGAATTCAAAAACAGAGGGGAAGAGAAAAGTGAACTGAAGTCTGCATGTGACAAATGCTAGTGCAGCAGAAGTGAAACGTGAGCAGAAATCTATAATCTGCATTCGAGACAATAGTTAATGAGTGATAAAGAGGCCGTTTACAGCAGGGTTGATAAAGACACTGGCTGCCAAAGAGCAACAAGCCAAGTTCAAGCTGATTGACAAAAACACATAACCTGCTGTCATCTCCACTTGTCTGGTCCGTCTGGCTATGATGCTGGGCTACTTCAGATTCTTTTGCTTTTTGCCCAGAGCTTTTATTGAACAGGGGTTTCCCATGTTGTCATGTTACAACCACAAACAAAGATATTTCATTGGATCTTTTTGTGAAAAGACCAACACAAAGAAGCTGAAGATTATGAAGTGAAAGCACTATAATACGTGATTGTATATATTTTAATTAAAAAGTGTGGTATCACGGTCAGGCAAAACTGTACAATCCTGCAACACCTTGATGAATGCTGAATGGTCAAATGTTGTAGTCCATTAGAGTGTTTTTGAATCTCAGTATGACTAAAAAATGTATTTGTATTTATTTTGCACCACAAGGAAAATAAAATATCTTTACGTTTGGTCGTAAAAGAGAAGGTTTCACTTCTGTTCTCTATGGGTTAAACATTAGCAGCCACTGTGGTGCACCTTTTTTAATTTACGTTGAGCATTCTTGCATTGTCTTACCTTTTTTAGCAGTTTCCATCTCTTCTTCAGTCCATCTTGAGCTTTCATTCATTTCTAAATTTCCTACAGGGACAAAAAAAAAGGAAATGTGTAAAAGACGGAGTGGCTAAAAGGTCAGTTGCGAAGTGGCCAATACAGATAAATGTGACAGACGAGATACTGGTGGGAAATTGTTCATGTCATAAAAGATAAATATTAGATTAAGTTTAAACTGATTTTACCATGTGAAACTAGTCAAAATATTCTTATACATTCTTTATCAAATCCTCATCATCATTAAGATTATAAGATGCCAGGTACACACTTATCCCAGTATTGAAACCAAAGTCTGGTGTGAGTGAGTATCAATTAAAAAAACCAAATAATCTGGTAAATTTGAGAGAGGTTTACACAGAAGAAGCAGGAAATTCAAGGAGACGAGTGAGTTAATCATTAGAGACAGAAGTACTTGCTTGTTTCCTCTGCTGGGTCATAAGCCAGACCCAGCCCCTGTCTACAGGTCATATGCGTGTCCTCTATCGGGACGTGAAGGGCAAAGGGGGGGACGCGCCTGTCAGATAGATTGCCTCACCAGGGATTTCAATGACTGAGCAAAGCAGCATGACAACTCTTGCTTATTCACAACACTGCTGCAAACGGCTCTTGGCTGCAGCAGAGAGAATTTCTGCTTGACCTACATGCAATGATACAATGACCTACACAGACAAGTAATGGCTGTCCATACAGATAATCCCATTTATATAAGCTATCACTATGTAATACGTTATCAATTACTACTGTACTGTAAACATTATTATTTGAAAAGGTACAAGGCACAATGCTGCACTCTTGTGGTTTGAGAAAATCATAATTAACTTTGAGTGAAACTTGACAGTAAATTTCCTCTTTTCTCACATGTTTTTTTCCGCTGCTGATCCTGATGAGGACTTGACAAAAAGCACTCATCTTTCTTAAACTTCTAACATACATAGGCAAAGTAAACGCAAGAGATAGAATATGTTGCATAATCTTTTGTTTCAAAGTTGTTTTGTTTTTTCCCCCACATTTGTAAATAACCGCCTGCAAACACAGACATGTATAATTGTTTATTTAGTTATGTAATTGTTAGTTTAATTTCCGTTTGTTGTAAGTTTTTTGAATTAAGAACAATAATAAAAACGTGTAAACAGCTCTATTGATGACATCACAGTCTGGTGATTTGTCAACGCGTAAAAAGGACATTTGGGCTCATGCAGATCCGTGCAGATTTGTGCCAGACGTACATGAAAACGGCCTAGATGGAGCTAAGAACGACCCCAAATATGTTATAGATGAGGGGAAAATGTTGTAACAAAGCTCAAAACAAAGATTTTACTTAGTGTGAATTCTTTGGGACTGACCGAGCTCATTGTTGACCGGCGGTGCAGACGCCTCTTCTACCTCACTGGTCATGGACCGGGTGATGCGGCCCTTACGGCGCCCCTGGCTGTTCGCTGTACGTCGACCCTTAACAGCCACCGTGGGCTCCTTGTCCTCTGCATCCTCTCCAGACGTGTCATCTCTACACAAGGGCAAAATAAAAGTGATTATGATAATGGAATAGAATAGCACTAAACAAAAATATACTAGGCACTTTTGACGTTTTATTCAGTTGTCAACTAAACAGCTTTGCCCTTCATCTTCTCACAGCTTCATTTCAGCTTCATTAATCTTGTTGAGGGAAGCACGGCGGCACACTAAATATAGGCGAGCCCCGGCCAGCTGTACCATGGATGACAGAGCAGAAGAGTCCTCAGTCGCATCGCTTCTAAACTCTGTTCTGTTTTGACTGTGACTGTCTATTACCTGCTGTCATCGGTTACATTAATGACACACAGCTGACTAATCATTTTATTTAATTTGCTCTTTTATGGGTGTAATGTACAATAAGAAAAACATTCACATAAAAAACCCAACCCCAAATCTCACAACAATAAAACAAACACAAATGGTCCTTTTTTTTTTTTAAATACATTTTTTTCTCTCGACTTTACATAGCATTTGATCCTTTATGTTTACATATAAGCTTTAATTGATATATATTTGAAAATGTTTTCAGTCCATTTTCCAGTAGTTTATACAAGGAGTTCCCAAGGTTTTCAGCCTACGACCTAATGATGAATGTGCTGCTGCCCTGCGGCCGAGGAAAGTGATGTGTATGAGTCGTAAGCTGGGTTCAAGGGATGCGCTTGGCAGGCTCACCCCTTAGCAGAGGTGGCAGGCTCACCCCTTAGCAGAGGTGGCAGGCTCACCCCTTAGCAGAGGTGGAGGGCGCCCCCCCTTAGCAGAGGTAGAGGGCATTTCTTGAGGCTGTTCTCAGCTGTCCTCTCAAACGTTCCCTCCTCAGCAGTCTTTGCACCATCAATCAACCTCATCTATGGCACATGTGACTTTTCTCCCCCTCCGGATTTTTTTGTTGTGGATATTAATCATGGTTCATTTTAAAGCAGGCATTATTTGTGTGTAGCCTCCAAACTCCTTTAGCTTTACAGAAAGACACGTTTTGTCGCTGGGCATGATGTAAGCTTTGTAACTTGATTTTGATTGACGCTGTCCGAGACAAAATTACAAATGTAATTAAAATACATTATATTTTTATCAGACTTCTCCAAACACAATTTAACAAGTAGTCCTATTGAATCAAATCAATACCCGGGCGGTCGGGACCCCCACTTTGGGAACCGCTGGGTTATACCTGCAAGTCTTTTGTTTAACAGGATATCATGTGGTATATATATAGGTTTGTGTGAAATTACAATTTTCCAAAGAGACTACTTTAATATTCTGATGGAGGGCAGTTAAAAATCGTTCCTGTCACACTGTCAACATTTTCTATTTTTTTATTTCTCTGTAACTCCAGGCCCAAACCAAATGAAACAAAAAAAAGTCACAACATTCCATATCTTCTTTGTCATTACAAAATCAATTGTATCAACTATATCCATCAAATGTATCAAGAAGTTACGACTGTTTTCATGCAGTTGGATGATGGTGTATGCATGAAAGTAGAAAGTATGTTCAGGCATAACAGGTTTACATCTAATCACTATCAAATATTTTACTATTTTAAAATTTCCCCCAGAGTTGTAGTGGGATCTGTCGTGAGTTAGAACTCTACTCCCCTTTACAACCGTGATCTTGGCTTCCTTGTGCATCAGAACGACACAGCTCCTTTATTTCAATGCTACTTTAAAAGATACAAACTTACTTCATTCCATCGTCCTTGTCCTCAGCTTCAGTCTTGTCCTCTTCCCTCTCGGCCTCCTTTTCCTCCTGGCTGTTCCGGTTCACTTGTTGCTGCTGTTGCTGTTGCTGTCCATGCTGCAAAAATAAAGACGTGCACTCTATTACAGAGATAATTGCAGGTAATAGGATATGTACTAGTGAGAACCAGTCCTCAGCATTGACCTGTATACTTCAACACACTTCAATGGACACATAATTGACTGCGATAAATTATTCAGGCGTTTATTGTAGGATGGGGTAAGAACAGCGGTCAAGTAAAAACAGCCAGACATTGCCTCCAGATCAAGCTCCAGTGGGTTAATCACTTAAATACTTATCCATTTAAGTGTGTTCGTCTGTTGCCAGATTGACTTTTTGAATTAATTGAGTAGTTTGATTCATTTGTGAAGAGGACTTCCAGTAGGTGCTTGCCTTCCTAACAAGATACAGAACATGTCTGTTACAATAATGTGCCTATTCAAATATGAACTCACAAATTAGCTTTTTTTGCAAAACTGATTTCAATAGTTTTTTGCAGTGTAACTTTTGCACTTTACGGTTGGACAACCACTTCCTTACCAATTTCCTGCCTGTCTGGGCTTTTGAGGTTGGAGTTCATAGTGGCACAGTCTCAGTCTCAGTCTGGCCAAAGACATTAAGCAGCATTTTCAAATGAAGAGCTTAAATTCTATTTATATTACTTATTGGACTATGCCTTTAGGAAAAGGATGGAATTCTTACTACTTACTCCATAGTAAGTATTAAATAACCCATTATCCAAAAAGCAATCTTGTTTATTTTGTTTAAGAGCACAGGACATAATTCTATTAGTAACCAATTCATCTTGGCTCAAAGACAACAACAGCACATGTTTGAAAGAGCTGTAACTGTGCGTCATACCTGGCTTCTTCCACGGCGTCTGTAGTTTCGCCGTACAATGTTTTTATAGTTTTCATTCTTTTTGGTGAGATAGTAAAACAGCACACACTCTGCCACCGTCTGAAAGCCACATTATATTAATTGAAAATTAACAGTTTGAACGTCAAGGAGCAAATCATTACCTTTCTCTCCAGAAATGATGCAATCAAGCCAAAGTTTTTAGGGTGCTGAATGAATCTGTGGAAGTCAGAGCTCAATTAGAGTCAGAATATTTGGCAAAAAAACTAGTTTAATACCAAAGCCTTTTTTTCCGAATAAATCACTGAATTGTCTTCAAAATAAATGTTTTGCTTGTTTAAGAGGTAAAGACAAGTTTGATGCCATAAACACAGAGCAGTTTCCTCATCACATGTTGTGCTTTTGTGAACGTAGTAGTCTCTGAGTCTGGCAGCTTTAAACACCATCATTTCTTATGAAAGAGGCTCACTTCTACCTAACCACATGTAATCTATGTAATCTAAATGCATTGTACATTTATGGAAAAACAAAACATTCTCCTTCTCAATCAAGCACAAGGAGTGAAGCATGAAAACCAACTGAAGAGTGCGACTCACTTCTCCCTGAATGTGTCCTTTTCCTGCTCGCTCCACATGTTCATGACTTGCCGGTCCTTGTAGACCTTCATGGGGTCGCCCATCAGCCCGTTCATGTTGATGAACTTGATGCGTTGCTGTTCGGCATCAAACAGCATGGGAGGGATGACCGCCAACTGCCGCATTTGTTTCTCTGTGTTCTGAGGTTCACATGCCGCACAAAAAAACAACATCCTGAATTAAGTGGGTTGGTCTGTGACAGGAAATAGATTGTATAACCTAAGCCAAGTGTTTTCCCTTAATGGAAAGGAAAATTGCTACATACAAGAAAAACAACAGCAGCATGAAAGAATTGTATTTTCTCAACAATGGTGTACCTCATGTTCTGAAATCCCATCAATGATCTCAGAGACCTCGTGTTCACTGCGAGCGGCGGACGCTAGACTCCCTCCTCGCTGCCCAACTCGACTAGAAAACAAATACATCATCAGATTATAAAAAAACGTTTCTAAATTAAGAGTAGGCATTAATAGTTGTCCTTACTTTTTTCCACTCATTGTCAGTGTTATGTGAAGGCAATAACGTGATTTCCATGTTCAAAATTAGAATGATAATATAAACGACTAAAATGACCTTGATAAGAAGTTTCCATCCCCCAGTTCTCAATAGTATGTATTAGCTATAGCTGTGGATGAGGTCCTTCATCCTTTCTGATGATAAAGCTGCCCATTATTCTCAGCGAAAAGTCTCCTGCTACTGAAACATTTCCGGGCCGCCTTGTATGAACTAGACATTTGACATCCCCCTAGATCTGCTCAGTGATGTTATAATTTGAACATGTTTATTTGACAATGTATGGCTTCACACAAGCACTAACGATGAGTCAAAAAAAATAACGTTTTTGTCATTCATGATCTCCAAAATATAATCAAAACAATGAAATCAATTAAATGTGTAGCTGAGTGTGTAAACGTTCAAACACAACTGTATATATACACTTGATGTGATATTATGTGAAGGCAATAAACACGATTTCCATGTTCAATAATAATGATAATATAAACTACTAAAATGACCTTAATTAGAAGTTCCCCCCAGTTCACAATAGCATGTATTTCTCCTTTATATCAATCACAGCTTGGAGTCATTTGTGATAGTTGTGGATGAGGTCCTTCATCCTTTCTGATGATAAAGCTGCCCCTGTCATTCCATAATTTCAAAAATATAACCAAAATCATGAAATGTCTGGCTGGGTGTGTTAAGCACAACTGTATAAAAACTTTGTGTAATGCGATATCTTAATAACCCACCTTTGCATGCGCTCTTGCATCTCCCTCTGTTTCCGGATTTCTGGAAACTGCTTTTCGTAATACTCGCGCACCTTGCTCTCTTTGGCCCGGCGACGCGGGTTGTTCTCAATGCGCTCCACCTTTTTTTCCCAGGCCTCCATCAGCTGGTCATAACGTTGGCAAAATTTTTGTTCCTACAGCAGATAACTCAATCAGAAAATTCAGGATTCCAAAAGTTTTACGCACATTACAGTCCAGTGGGAATAAGATGAACCACTTAGATAAGACACTCTGGGTAGGACTTACAATTATATTAGTTTCTATTGGACATATTGGCCATGTACTGTATGTACAGGTTAACAAATGGAACGGTCAGAACTAAAGCAGTTTGATGGCCAATGTGGGACATTCCATTCTAAACAATAACATCCTCAAGGGGACGAGTCGATGATGTCTCACCAGGACAGAAACACAGTGCGCCTCTTATGTAATTGCATTTGGCAATAAACGATCTGAGTGTCCTTACCCACTGCTTGCGAGCATGATTTCTTCTCTTGAAGTACAAGATGAGCTTCTTCCTCATGGCCTGGTTACTACATGGCAAAGACATCAGGAGATGAGCCTCGACAATTTAAATACAATTTATTTGGCACTTATAAGTACTAAGCTTGATTTACAAAACAATACAATACAATTTATTCTTGTATAGCCCTAAATCACAACAGAAGTCATCTCAGAGGACTTAACAAAACCACTGAAATCACCAACACAGATCAGAGAATCAACAGTTAAAACACATGAAAAATATTATGGCGCTGTTCTTTTTTAATTAAAATAATCAGCATATTCCCCATCATTAATGTTTGTATATATCAGTCAGCTGGAGTTGGCCAATGTTACACAACTAACGTAGTCTAGACTGGAAACAGCAGTTACAAGCACTTCAAATAAAGGTCAAGGTCAATAATCTCCTTTGGCGGCAACTCAATTTGTGCCTCTCTTTGCTGCAAGACAGTTCATCTGTCAGTTGTAAAGGCACGTTCTGCGCTGATATCTCTTTCTACAAAAGTCACCTCAGCTGAGCCACAGTCTTTCAGGTCGAGAACAGTAGCCTGGGAAGTAGACGAATGATGGGCCTTAATAGACAAATCACTATTTTTACAGGAGATAAAAATAATTGAGAAACAATATAATGCTGGAATCAAAACAGAAAACACTGGTGACTGCTGTAGAAATACAATATGCTCTAAAATTGAGTGGCATATGATGGGCCAGATCAAACCTTTTTGGGTAGCAAAGTCGCACTGACAGTTTAAGACAGAGATGGTATTGTGTGCTCTGCACCAGATGGCAATGGGAAAGATTAGTGGCCCTGAACCCAACTAAAGGTTCTCTTTGTGCTGCTCTAAGCCTGTGCCATTTCTGAGATATCAGAGTACACTCTCATTTAGCATAATATGTCCAGTGGCTTGAAGCTAGCTGTGTTGAAGTCAGAGAATTCAGATAGATATAGATAAGTAATAGACAGGTTGTGCGCTTGTTTTTGCTTTTGTACTTCTGCAACACCTTGCAGACTAAGATCAAAGGACAATAAAAATGTTTAAATGGATGTAGCTTACCAATCTACAAATTATACTATAAACTAAGCTGAACATCACACAATAGATAGGATAAGAAATTCTGTACTCATCTCACACAGTGTTAGCACGTCGGCTATAGAGACAAAGAAGCCACTTGTGTTTATTTAGAGCGACAGTGCTATTTAATAAGTTCCCAAAGCAGGCAAGAGGGAGTTTTCAGCAACAGCTTTGAGGCAGTAATGCTGATCCAACAGTCCAGATCAAAAGGACTGAGGACAGAGCATTGTGGCTCTGAGGTCACATACGTCAAGTGGCTTGGCATCAGACACATCAGGTTTTTAAATCTCCTTATAAAGAATTTTGGTAGTCATAAGCTACAAATCATTCAACATTAACAAGAAATACTAACTACCAACAGTATTTGGAAATGAGTCCAATGAGTTTTAAAAAGTAAAACAAAACGCGTGTGTCCTCCGTAAACTCCTCTGTTTTGCTGCAGCCGGCTGCATCCAATTTCTAAAATCAACCGTCTTACACTTCACCTCTCTTTCTTATCATTCCCATAGTAATTGAAAAATTACCCTATGTGCATTTTAGATTATGTAAAAATGTGTTATATGTATGTTAGCCAAACCTGTTGCTGTCCTTAGCAGATAAACCAGGAAGAGCAAGGAGCTTATCAATGGAATTGTATGCAGCCGCCTTCTGCGCTCACATGCGCTCCTCTGTGGCTGGCCTCACGGTGATACAAGCCGTGGTTGAGCGCGATTAAGACCCATATTTGTTTCAAAAACACAATTTATGACCATCCTCTCAACTGTAGACATGTAGATTGTAGAGGAAATATGATTTACATCAGCCAATAATTGCTGAGAGGTTTTCTCATCCTCCCTTCTCTCATGACAACACGTTCATTGTGCGTCTTGAGTAACGCGCAGTAACGGGATGTCGGAAATGATAACGGCGTTATAGTTACTGTCAAAGTAATTAGTTAGATTACTCGTTACTGAAAAAAGTAACGGCGTTAGTAACGCCGTTACTAGTAACGCCGTTATTCCCATCACAGCTACTAACAGTACCTTAGGTGTTAGATTACACCTCCATTGCACAACAGAATCCAGAAATATTTTAGAAGGGCCTCAAAGTTTAAGAGAAACCCAGATAAATCATTTCCATTATCATACAAACAACTGTAATGCAAAGCAGTATAAAAAACAAGGCACAGACACAATACTTTCAAAAGAAAATAGATCATTGGTTAAACTTACATTTTAATATTATCATGGTATTGTTTAGTGTCGGACGGTTGATTATACAGAGGCTGAAAAAGTAAACAAACAGAATTAAAATGTCACCCTTCATGCTCTACAAATGTTTAGATTTTGCATATGATTATAGTCTGAAAGTAAGCTCCTCACCAGTTCTACGCGGGGTCCAAGTCCCTCCAGTATCCTATGAGCCTCCTCTGCTTTTTTCTGTGGAGCATAAACAGGAGCAGAGCATTAGAGCTGCACCTCTGCTGTCTCCACGGCAACAGGCAGCGCACACACCGCTCCGGACCGGAGCGTGTGGACTGGGATGTAAGGATGGATGAGAGCTGAACATTGTCTATTATTAGAGCTTTTAGCTCAAGCTGGACCACTGCTTCAGGCCCCCACTTTCAGTGCACACAGATTACTCACCTCCAAAGGTACACTCACAGAAGGAGTGGGTGAGAGAACAATGCGACCTGGGAAGTGGGGTCTTGTTTGTACTGCTATGATCTATCAGTATACTTTAGACACCTTCACTCATCCTCATCTTTGATACATTATTTCTGCTCATTCTCTGCACTCTTCCTTGTTGTTTTTGCCAGACACACACATGCAGATGGGACAGACAGTATTAAAGTGTTGTATCGGAAAAGGGCATTGCAAAGGCGACAGCTCAGACAAAAGCTGCAAGTGCATGTCAACCTTTATCCATCAGATCCCACGACAGGTCACCCGGCGCCAGGACGCAGGGCCACAGCGCAGGAACAGTTTCTTGGCTGTTAAAGAAATCTTTCATCTTCCTCAAATATCAGCAGTGTGTTGATCTAAAGAGACTACAAGTTTGACTACATGGCCAGTACAAGTACAAGTATTTCAGTTGTGATTACAATGCTTTTCATGTTTAATTGCAGTCGGAAATGTCTTGAGATGTAGACCATGTGTGTAGGTGTAAGAAGCTACACATTATTGCCTCAGCGGCTAATGAGCAGCAGCTATCAAATACAACCTCTCATCCTTAGGGAGTTTCAAAGATTTCGCACTTTAGATGTTGAGCTAATCTTTAAGTGGCAGTAGGCATGCATATTTATAGTTTGTGTAAAATTACAAATAATATTCAAACCTTGATCCAAACAATTATATTGACTGAGTATAAATTATCCCTAAAGGCCCACAAAGACTAAACCACTGCCCTCTTGTGGAAGCTGGCAGACACAGATTTTTCATTATTAACAGTATTAGCTGGATTTTTTTTTTAAACAATTAGTGATGATAATTTGGGATTATGATCATTTAAAAGGAAATAAGCATTGCACCTTATGCTACACTGAAACAGACCTGAGAATCCATTTGTAAAACATATTTGTTGCCATTGGTTTGTGTTAAGTAATGCCCTTTGTAGTATATAAGTCTGCAGGAGCATCAGGCACATCCTCCGAGGGAGAGGGGAATGGAAAGTGTTACAGAGGTCAAGATACATTGTGGAGAAAGCAGTGAGTCACACTGAACTTCCAGCTTTTGAGTCTTAGGCAATCAGCCAGTGCAGGAGCAGAACAATAACAAATATTTTTTCAGTGAATAACTGCTTTTTTCATTTCAAAATTTGATATGAAACAGACCAAAAGATTGACAAAGAGTCTTTTGGGATAAAGGACTACTTAATAAATAACGTAACATAAAAAACAAATGTAAGGAAACTTTTATGGGAAGCCTGGTTGCTCAGACTCTGGCGCCGAAAGAATACATACATCCCTATCATTGAAAATTAGAATATTGTCTGGTGGACCCACCCCTCCCCCGACCCAGAAATGGATTAAGGGGAAAAAGATGGATGGATAGAGTATTGTTGATTTATTTCTGTAATTAAATTTAAATTGTGAAACTATATTATATAAACTCATTACATGGAAAATTACATATATAAAGCCTTTATTTGTTATAATTTTGATGATTTTGGCTTAAAGTGAGAGTCTGGGGTTTTTCAGAAAGAGAGAGAGGTACATGATTCTACGTTTCCGTAAGACATTTAAATGTTAATCGGAGAACACGTTATACTTATGCATTATTAATACACATGCAAGGAGGTTTTCAGAATTATTAGTTAACGTTTTCATGACAAAAATAATGTTTTAATGCATAAAAAAAAGCGATCGCGGTAGACCCGGAAGTAGCGATTAACTGTAATTGAACATTATATGACACATCTGCAGAGGATATGATTATGGATATAGGTTCAGTTTATAAATGGGTAACTCAGCGTGGATGTTCAGAATTCTTTGTTCAGATTTAATGTAGTTCCAGAGCCTAATGGAGGCTTGATTCGGAGGCTCCGTGAAAACAAACAACTGAGCATGTGTGCAGCTACGAGCATCGGCGCCGATGATTGACAGCCCTTGGCATGACTCGATTGGTTAACCTGGACGGCATCGTGGATTTCTAGCTATAGCTAAGAGAAGGGAAAGCGGGACTTACCCGTGATATTAGAATTCATAAAATGACTTATTTTATATCAACATTTAAGGCCAATTTAATGCAATTCTTGAAATTTGTAATTAATTTAGAGTTTCAGACTATCACTTTAAAGTCCATCTTCACCACGATCTAGATTTTCTAATTGTATTTGATTTTTACAATCTGGGAGGCAATTATTGTGTGTAATGAGTCTCATATATTAGTTCCTCATTGTAAGTTGAATTACAGAAGAACATTTGACTTTAAACTAATTTTCAGAGTTCGCATATGAGTCCAGAGCTCCTCCCCATAACAATTGTGTCACTGTAGTGATATGACTGACCCGGTTCTCGTCATAGATGATCTGCACCAGGCTGCGGTGCTTGGCCTCGCTCGGTGGAGGGGAAATGGGCCGCTCTGGCTCATGGGGCTTCGCTGCTTCCTCCTCCAGTTGTTGCTGCAACAGTCAAAACAAAATAAGTATCATGTAAAAACAAATTTAAAAATCTAAAGTCAAATGCACTGGTTTTTATGCTATATATGCTATACTCACAAAGGTCTACTCAATCAAAAGTTTACCACAACAGGGAACAAAGTCAATTGTCAGAGAGACTAATAAAACCACTAAAAGAACTGGTAAAGCAAAACTGCTTTTTGTGAGGTGTGCAAGTCATTAGCTTCACACTCTCAATTCTCTTTTCTAAGTTACTTTCACTGCTTATATGAAAACAAGATGTTATTGCCATCTTAGATAGAGTTAACTGAATTTTTCCATCTGTGTGAGATAATAAAGGATTCATTGATTGATTGATTGATTAGTGCAGTATAAGGTCAAGGTTATCAAACTTCCAGTTTACCTGAAGCTTGCCAAATTAACAAAAGCATTTCCTATTTCTACCCATTCAATGGAAAAGTGAAACTTATGGTCTAATACACAACTTCACCTGCGGAACAGATAGCCAAGGTCATAGGTTGTGATAATAATAAAAATCCCATTTAAAGTTCTTCCCAGTGGAAACGTTTTTAAATACTATCTAAATAAAAAACGGCAAAACCACAACCAAAAGTAGCTCTTTGACACAGCTGGATTAGACATTTTAAGCAGCTTCACATGCACTTTAAATGCAGCCCATCTAAATTTATGAGGAAAGAAATGTCCACCAACACATAACGTATGAATATACTGTATATATGAACACAAAACATAGTTTCTTTAGCAATCTTAACTCATAGCATGCCAGCCTATTTTAGAACAGGTACTCCTAAAATCCGATCCAGTTTCTGAAAGAATGGACTATCTACTTTCATCAGCAAAAATAATTTTGTTTCTAGCTTGTTTCGTTCCTCTGTAATCCCCAGTTGAGTAGAGGGAAGTTTTGCTGAAATCACCAGTCTCTTGACAAAAAGCTGAGAAAAAAGAGGCACAACAAGTGCATCTCGTTTCCAAAACATCCAGACGCAGCGCTGCTGCCACCTGCTGGCTCGATAAAATATGGTCTAAAGCGAATCCCCATACATATTAGATAGAATAGACATCTGGGAACATAAAAAGCGGAAACCGCAATTGACGTATTAATGCGTCAATGGCACAACGTAACTATTTGCTTTGACGTATTTGTGTGTCAATCGCACACAACGAGTTAATAGTGACACCAACCTGCTTCTTTCGGAGCTTGCAGATCTGCTGTTCCACCATAGTGATCTCTCGGTCCACACGGTCCATGTTCTGAATCAGCTCTTCTTTGGAAAACCGGGCTGGAACCAGGTCCAACTCTGGGTCCACCGGACTCACCGGAGAGATGGGCTCCAGCTTCCCCATGCCACCTCCACGCTCCTAAGGACACATTTCCACGGCCGTTATCATTAACAAGATTAAGAGACACAATTTCAGATGAAACTGCTTTATTGTATTTTTAAACCTTTAGTATGGTGAAAAAACTTGTGATATATAAATGACTAATACATCAGCGGAGTCTCAGTGGGACGAAAGCAGACTAATGAAAACGAGCTCACAGCTGCTGCGGGCTGAAGCATAACTCCCAGCACAGACAGGTGGCTCTGAACACAGCAGAGAGACTGTCCAGGAATCAGAGGGCTCAACTAAAAGGGTAATGAATACTATCTTTCATATCTTATAACACATATAGAGTGTTTGCCTGGGGAGTTTATGAGGACATTCATAAATACAATAATTTATACAAATGAGAGAATCCTTACAATACATTTATGACTCTAGTGTTTTCATGTAACTTTTTGTGTTATAAATAAAAAAAACAACCACAAGCTGCAACCTTCCCATCAGTTTCTGACTGGAATTCTTAGTTTACTTTTTGGGTTTGTAATTCAATGGAAAAAGCTTAATTTTGACTATAAAATTCTCATGATTATTTGTTATATTGTTACAACCCCACTTGTTGTTAATATAACATTTAAATTTGTTATTTGTGAATTTACTGTGTCAGTCTTTTTTGTTAAGTTTGCTTGCAGTAAAACGAAGGTTGCGTACGGACCATCAGCTTCAGATCTCTATGTAAAAGACAGGGTATAATTGTGTCTGGCTAGATAACAGTATTTGACTGTCAACAGTTAAGCAACACTTCCCCATCCTCTACACCTGCGGCAAAGAAAGAGGTCAACGGCCCGGAGTTAAGCTGTTGTCCCAGAGCAGTGCAGCTTACGCGCACTCCACAACCCCAGCCACATTTAGAACATTCCTAAACATCACGTCTCCAGCTATGCGTGTTTATATTAGCGTCTGTGTTGTAGTGTGTCAATGCAAATACTTTCTATTTAAAGAGCCGCAACCACAGCAGAATATGACATACCAGACCAACAGGAGGAAGGAAATCACTTTGTTTTTAGAGCCATTCAACCAGAGACACACCGCGTGGCATGAGGAATTAGATGAGAACGTTTCTAGGCATTTTTGAGTTCTCCATATAAGGGACTACATCTACCCCAAAGATTTTTGATTAGATGACGTTACTATATGATTTTGTAAAGGGCTGCAACAGCTTAATCGATTAATCACAAATAATCATTTATTGAAGTAGTCAACTAATTCAGTAATGGGTTAATTACTTTTTGAACCTTACATAGACTTAAACATGCTGAGAAGAGGTTTTATGTCTCATAATTCTATAATTATTATGTGAAGATGTTCTCCAGCTTTATTCAAATGTATAATGCCAACATTCATCGAACATTGGGGATCTAAACAAGTAATCAATTGATCGAAAATATAATCAGACAAATAATCAGTTATCAATATAAATATATAATAATCACAACTCTAATTGCATGTGTCTCGTCTGTATTGTCTGTCTCAGCCACTGACGGCCACTTGGATTTTGCACTTGTGGAATAAATAAAGTATCTAGCTAACAAAGAAAAACAGCATGTTTGTTATTCTTGTGTTTGCTGTTCAAGTTACAATAACAAAGTTGCTCTTCTATCAACACTTTTTGATGAGCCACTGTGAATCATTTGTTCCCTTCACACATGCACAGTTTAAACTAAAAAGATGATTACTCATTATCAACCAACTGGCCTATCACAACTACCAACTCTTGCTGCACAATCCCCAAGTCGTTAAAGTCTTTTTTGTTTTCATATATTAATCATGATGATATTGGCCAGCGTTAGTCAGGGCTCTTATCACGACTCGCTTTCAGTATCAGTTTGCCTTTTTGTCACAAAGGTCAGCCAACCCAGATAGACCAAACAGGATCAAATAGAATCTGTATTTGTCCACAGCCTAATATTGAAGTCGCAGATGGCCTATATCTCTACGAGTGGGATACAGTGTTTAGATGTGGTGCGTACAAATAGGCTGATGAAAAACGCTTTTGTTCATGGTTGAGTCACAGTGACTCATGCTTCGCCTACTACGAGCCAACCTCCCTTTTCCTGTTTGCTTTTGTGTGTGGCTCCTCCTCTGCACTCTTTATCTCTGCCACTCCACACTGCAACCTTTGCTTTGTTTTAGTTTAATCTCCCAGGCAGAGCACATTTTCCTTGATATGCTTTGTCAGATACCCTGAGGGGTATTGCAAAAATTCTTGAATATTTTGAGCGTCTTTTAAAGTCATTTTGAAACTCTACCCGCCATTAGTAATGATGATGTATTTACCATTCCTCAGCTGACCTCCTCTGACAGTTTATGGCAGTTATACCAGGAGCAGCGGCAGCCAGGCATTTTCATCTGCAGTTCACACACTTTCATCCAGTCTTCTGAAATCTAGGTCAACTTCATAATTTATTAATTGGCTTCACAACTCTCTCCCACTGCAGCTCACAAGATTCTATTGCCTGCAGCCTCTTCCTCTTCTGATGTCGTTTATCAAACAATATCTTTTATGTTTTAATGACAAAGACCTTGGAAAATATAGTTTACAGGAATGACAAACGATGAGCCCCATTGTTTTTTTAAAGAATGCTTCTGCAGTTTTTCAACTGATATCACTGAGATCCAGTGAACAATACAAACATTTTTAGGAAAAACCCTCAATAGTGTGGGATTAGCAACAAACAAACAACCATATGTCATTTGAATTCATTATGGAGTTATTTCATTGTCAGTGTGCATGAAACTATGAAAGTGTGTACACGCCACTCATTTTCCAAACAGTGAGATCTTAATAAGCATAAGGTCAGGGAATAAACATGTAGGTTTAGATTGGACACATGAGACCCAAGATTGGGCATTTGTGTATCTTTATATTTTTGTATGACTTTTTCAAATTAATAGAATGTACAAAGTAAATTAGACTGACGTAAAATGGAAAGAATAACTGCTGAGCACAGTTCTATATGAGTAGCACGAGTAGTAGGTCACCTTTGCCAGGTCCTCCGGCCCTCCCAGAGGCAAAGACTGCCTGTGGGAGGTGGACCGTATCAGACTCTCCATTTCCAACCGGGGCCGTTTGATCTCCGCATAGTCCACCTCTGATTGGCCACTGTGCTCAGGCAGATATATGTGCTCATAGCGAATGTGCTGCTCCTGTCCCCTGCAACACAAAAATGTTTTTAGAGCAGTGGTGGATGAATACATACAGTTCAAAAAACTGGGAAGGTACATTTTTGAGAACAGCCCTAAACAGGTGTGCTGCATTTTCCCCAGAAAAGGGAAACACATTTGATTATTGACCTCTATATTATCTGAAGCAATATTTGGATGGACGGCGGACCAGTGCATTATGATCAGCGGCTTGGTCCTGTTTGGGCGTTTTACATAAGACTAATATTTATTGTACATTTTCCCTAACCAAAAAATATAATTCAATTCAAACATCATAACATGTTTTAATAATACATAGATTATTTAACAATATAATTCAGGTCATAATTAATCCGGCTGATCTCAATTATTATTTCAAACTGAAATTACATAATTCTGTCGTCAGCTTTTAATCATTTCACAGTTCTCTGTAACACGTCTCTACAGAGAAAAATCATGCACTGGAAATGAAACGTTTCATCTTGACACAAATCCGTGAGCTGATGAAACTCCCTGCTCTCAAATACAACAGGGAATCACAAGATCGAGGCAGCATTTGTTTGCTTTTTTCTGCTCAATATTTTCTAAGGAGATTGATGAAAACGCACCTTAAAAGGTACACACTGTAATTTTTAGTGCCATCTAGCGTTGAGATCTTATATTGGAGTCCAAGGTACTACGGAAGCCTTTAAGTTGGCGACCTCAGTCATTCACCAGACTGCCAAGGAAAGAATACTTTAGTTTGATAAATGACCGGATCTCTCCAAACGTCTCGGGCACTTGACAGTCGCATGGAGGCGACACGTAAACAAGACCGCGTTCTGAAGCAGCACCCGCTGCACAGAGGCTCTGAGTTTTACCATGGATCTATTATGATATATAGTTTTACAAACACGGTGTGAAGAGAAGAAACGCATGGAGGAATAACGTCTGTGGGAGCTTAAAACTACGATGATCAGAGAAGACGGGATATATACACAGCCGTGGCAGGACATGCCAAAAAGCCTATGGTATTATTAGCGTTAGTGTTAGCCACAGCGTCCTATCTGCATCACGGTAAGAAACAGAACATTCACTCACACTGCTGATGAAGTATTCTGGCGATTGTTTTGTGGGGATTCTGTGTGTTTTATTTAAGGCTTTGTCCCTGAATAAGTTTGGTTGAAACTTGTGACAGTAGTTGGACTGCGCTCGGATCGGGTCAGAACATCCTGTGTTGCAGAGTCTGCCTCGTTCTCATTATTGTCAGTGTGAAAAAGTTACGTATTGTTCACGTGTGAGTCTTTTGTGTTAACGTTGTCTTTCGGTGTGTGTGCGCTTGCAATGTTGACACTTTGCTGCTATGACACTGGACTTTTGCATGATTAGTTTTTTAAAAGATTGTTGTTCGGATTGTTCTTTTACATAACTGTGGTCCTCCATGGTTCTTTTACATAACTGTGGTCCTCCATGGTTCTTTTATATAACTGTGGTCCTGCATGATTCCTTCTTCCAACTTGTGAAGGCACGATGAAAGCAATGATATCAGTAGCTAATGTGAAACGAAAACGCGATTCTTGCATCCTTTTTGTCCCTTATCCACCACTGTTTTTCAAGTTGGCGCATTGACACGGAGAGCACTCCTCTCTTCATTCTAAGCCTATGAATACAATTCAAAAAACATGGTGGAGGTAAATATTCTTAAAAAGGTCACATTTGTTATTAGTTAACATGTTTTTTCTATGGAGAAGCTGTAAAAATTACACAGGGTGGCTTTAACTCACAATCTTCTCTGTTGCCTTTTAAATCATTTATGACCAAGCAGAATGTTAATGAATAAGCTGTGCTACAGGCCGGTGACAAACTACTTTCATTCTACCCAGATGCTCTGCTCAGTCTGCTGTCCCTGCAACCCAGCAAGGGATAAAGCGGAAGAAAAGGGACGAAGCATGAGATGGCCCTCGTTGCTGCAATTCCCTTTTACACATCTTACTCCTCTCTAGACAAATCCTCCCAAGAGACCAGATTCAGCACGCTCACCACAGAGAGGAAGAGAGAAGGGGGGTGTAGTAGTCATTACATAAGCGGCAACACTCAATGGAGATGAGGAAGTGAACTGAATCATTGAGGGCAAAAAGGGTTTCAAAGCAGTGGTTGCACACAAGGACTAATTTTTTTAGATCTATCTAGTGAAGTAGCTAATTAAACTACAGTACAATCCCCCACAATAGAGCTGCTCGGCATTAGAACAGAACAGTGAAGATGGACACTGCCATCTTCTACATGTCTATTCATTTTTGTTGGAGACTAGTTTCCCTCTTTCCTCAAGCTACTTCCACGTGACCCTGATGGACAGAGGAAAACTTTGAAAAACAGTTCTCAGAGGAAGAACAAAGAACTACTCACAAGTGGCTAATGCGGTGCCACATTTGAAAGCTGTGCACAGTACAAGAGGATATACAGTGTACTCATAGAATTGTGGGGTTTTTCTTGCCTTTGGTTTTGACGCTTCTGTATAGTACAATTTTACATGCTGTGAATGTCCCTCATATCAAAAGTGAGTTAACAGAATTGTCCAAAGAGAAAATGAAAAGTTGCCTACGTGCATTTAAGGTTTAGTAAGGTATGGTAGAGATGCAAAGGACCAGATAACAATTGTTAAATTCCTGGAAAATGTACAGAAATGTTCCCCGCAACACTTTCTCGGATAAAATAGTGTATTTTCACGCAACCCTTTGACTGAAGTTGGTTGCTCATGTCCATGTTTCAAACAGAACCCCGTGCCTTCTGTATGTGATTGATGCCAAAAAGACTTTTGAGCGGGTAAAGGCAGAAGAAACCCCTGTTATGCTTTCTCCTGCAGACTCAAGTCATACCTGCTCAAGTGGTTAATTATTTATACGGCCTTTCTTTTTTGAGGATGGGTCTTCATAAGTACAAATACATATTTAATCTATATGGGATACATTTTGTATGTGGGTCAGTAGAAACATTGACATATTCTAAAAATATTGGAATATCGACAAGACGATTGTTGAGCTCTATAGTTTTGAAGTACTAGCTTGCCTAGCTGTTACCCATCCAACCACGTCATGGCAAAACCTTTTGGAACTAACTATTTTATATCATTTAAAAAAAGATAATGCCCATTACAGCTTCGAATATTAAGGGCTCTCTAATATTTGTTAGAATATATGTATATATTATGGCTATCAAACGATAAAAAAATGTAATCGAGTTAATTAAGACTGAGGCTCCGTGGTCCAGCTTCAGAGGTGTATTTATTGCATGCACAGGTTACGCAAAGACACACACACAACAAGCAGAGAATAGTCCTGTGCATGTGATGTTACGGCGGCGCGTTCGCCGAGTTGTCGTCAAAGGACAGCCGCTGGAGGTGAGAACCTCTGTCCAGAGAGCGGCCGCAGCTGCCCCGGGTCAGAATGCTGCGGCCACGGAGGATGCAGACTCCCGTTCAGTACATACAGTAAACAACAGCAAGTACCCCGCAGTCACGCGCGTTGTCAATTTAATAAAATTCTAAAAATATGTACTTCATTTAGAGTTCCATACTATCACTTTAATGACATACCTTCACTCCATACACCATACATGGTGGTGATAAGCTACTACTGCCTTGGAACAGACTGACAGAAACGAGGCAGCCAGTACCATTAACCCTTCGGACCTCCACCAATCATTCATGCACAAACCAGACTCATTCTAGGTAATGTGGGTGAAGTGTCTTCTTGTCTTCTTGTAAAGTCTTCTTGTAGGACAAGAAGACTTTGCATTAAATTTAGGAGATTCACTAATCTACACAGAAACAACCAAAACAAACAATACCTCTCAATCCCAGGCTGAAACTCCGACAGCAGCGAGGGTCGGCGGCGGTGAGGTTGCCCCAGGTGGGAGCTGTAATCTCGGGCATGATGTCCGTGATAGTCCACAAGCCCCACTTCCTAAAATGAGAAAAACAAAGAGTGTCAAATGCACGGACATATTCAGATATTGTAGGAATCTCATTGTAACAAATGCATGGGATTATGCATACCATCTGAAACTGAGCGCACAGAACTAACAGGCCTTTTTATAAAAACCAAGTGGTCCAGTACTGCAGTGAACATGAGAAGTAATAACTTTGATTAAAAAAAATTTTGAGGAATTTCCGCAGCCTCGATGCTACGTACACTGTAGTTTATTTGCGGCATGTTGCCTCGTTTAATAAATGCTCACGTTTCGCACAGATTCTTTGTGTTACAACTTACACAACATGTTTACATCACAGTTCTTACGTGCCCAGAGCTACACAGTACCTGTCTGCATCGCTAGTGTTTGTAAAACTTTTTGACGGACTATGGAGGACGACTAAGAAGGCACTGGGCAAGACAGGAAAGTTAATGAGAAGTGTCCAAAGTTGTTTAAGGTGTGGGAGCACTTCACACTGGACTAAGAAAAATTGAGTAGTTTCGCACATTGCAAGTTGGAGCTAGATTATCATTAAAGCACAAGTTTGATGCTGCAGCGCCTGACGAGGAAGCATCGAGGGACGACCCAAGACGAGGCAAGTCAACTTTTATGTTGTGGTGTAAGGGGATGATAGTTATGATAACACGCAGGGGTTTTCACACTCCCGTGGAAAGTCAAAGCGGCATGATTGAAATCTATCAATGTTGCCGCTTGTCGCCTTCAGTCTAAGCTCTGGTTTGATCTTTAAATCGTCCAAAAAGAGTCAACATTAACAGAGATATGCCCCTATTAAGAATCCTAAGTCCTAACCCTTAGCAGCATGAGGGTCTGGCACACAGTGACTCAGTTAAGAGACAGTGACACATGTAGTTCTATATTGCATATTATAATTTTTGCACAGATGCACAACATGTAAGGTCAGGTCAGCAGTGTTTGTTATCGTATAAAGGACATATTGAATCTGGGAGGTGTGTGTGATTGACGTTAAACATTTTACGCCTGCTTTTCCCTTTCTTTCAGTAAACCATCTCAGCCTGTTTGGGACAAAAGGACCTTCCTGCTCCCAGTACAAGCATCTGTTATGATAGATAGCATTTCAAATATGCTGCTCAGAGACATGCGCCTCATCGGATTTTGTCAATCTGGAAGGACTCAAAAATCAATTGTGGTACAGGTGAAATTGTCGCTGCCTTGTCTTCATTTATCAACAATATGAATACAATAAACTATATAACATTTCTGTTGTCATTATTAAGTGGTGATTTTGTATATTTTTGTATAAAATTATATATTTTTTCTAGATTACTTGATTAATCAGAGAAAATAAATACAATCAATAGAATTTTTTACTATGAATCATACATGTGTTTAAAATGTATATGTAATCAGCATTTGTGGCTGCAGCCCTAGATGCTAGATCTAAAAACAGATGAGTGAAGGAGAGAGAAAGAAAAGAGACACAAACTCTGCCATGCGCTTATATTTCTGTGATTCTTTGAGACAAATATTTTTTTACAAATACAACTGACTGATAGTGATTCAAAATCCTGTATTTCTTGACGCATTGCTGACAACTAGAACTTCTTGAAAACACTCTTTGTGGACTGCTCTGTTCGGCTAAACTACAGCAGCAATATGCAGAAGCCAGAAGAAAAATTATACTGACCTCCATTTTACAGTTTAGACATTTGAAACATCTTCAAATTCCAAAAAGGTTGATTAATTGAATTAATTCCATTTATAACCCAGACCTACTGACTACACAAAACAATGGGTATGTGAAATACCCAAATTGACCCTCAATCCTACTGTTCCGTAACTTGGGATGCAACACTGACATTTTCCCACTGTGGAACAATTACAGGATGTCTTAATCTTAATTCATTTCATTCTCTTAAATTTTAAAAACTTCTACATGCTTTTATCAACAAATGTTATGATTTAGGGTTAAAGACAAAATTACAGGCCACAAAATCTATTTATTTATTTATTTAATATGGACATAGCAATTAACATTGGACGAACCAGATGCATTGTTTAAAGTGTTATAGCACAAGTGCTAATTTTCAACACCTGTCCAAAGGGGGCATACGTGCAAAAGTGATTAGTACTTTGCCCCAACAACATAATAAAAATTGTATTGTAGAAAAACATCTTCAAAACCAGCACCAGTTTGCAATGGAATTGCAAGCTGGGCTGAGTGGGGCCAAGTGGGGTAGATGTGTGTAGAGTCGAGCAGAGGCAGGAAGCTGGAGCGGAAAGAGGTCTATAAATGAGTCAATGAGCACGTTGAAAAATTGTATTTCCCATCATGAAAGCGTAACAAAGAAAGACAGTGGGTCAAGGGGTGAGTCCTGCTTCCAGCCCAGACTGCCCAGTATCTGCATGGGCTCAACATAATCTGGATAATTAGTAGATGTGAAAGGAAACAATGAAAAACTTCTGGGTCTATACTAACAACATGAACTTTCTACTTGAACATCTAATGAGGGGGAGTTTCTGTGTGCACAACACACAGACCTCAGGTTCACGTTCCAGTTCCCTCTTCCTCCTGCGAATTAAAACTGGTAACTCCTTGCACATATCCTTCTTGGAAACAAACTTGGGAATCCATGAATGTCATGAAATTTAAAAGTCTGTAAGATGTATCATTAAATAAAGTAAAATGCAAAAGTCTTGTTGTGAGTGGTCAAAAAGCTCAAATTTAGTTTGTTTCTGTCCCAAAAATCAAAAGATATAAGATCATCTCAATAATTGAGAATCGAGTGTGGCAGTAGAATCTCTTTACTCATGAGCCTTTCACGCAGATATGCCTTTAAATATAGCTTTCATACGATGCAACGTTTAAAAAGGTTTAGATTAGAAAAACAATTGTATTTGTCAAACTTGTATGCAGATATTTATAATATTGAAATGAGTCTATTAAATAAATGGTGTTCTGTTACTGCTTGGGCAACTAGAAGATGGCAATATCTTTAGGGGCCCAGCAGGGCGGTGTGGGGTCAGTGAACAGAAATAACTATGTTTACAAAAGATCACAGGTTGAAGTGCCAGAGACCAAAGGATTTAATAATTTGAGAGCCTATTTTTTACAAGCTGAAGAGTGATTTTCCAAAACCATGATCTGACATCTTAGTAATGACCCAGTGAAAACCAAGCCCCGGTGATCCAAGATGGCGCTCTATTCAAATGAATAGATTGTGCTCAGTACCGCATGGGACTTCACGGGCGCTGACATATCAGAGCAGGAACTCGCCTATATTTGGGCATCGTCTGGTCCTCCCGGTTCTGCGCAGTGGATTATCTCCCATGATGCGTTGCGCCAAATACGCGTGTGTGTGGCTCTCATGCACGCACACAGAGGGACTCGGCTGCGTCTGACCAATCAGAGCTGCTGATCAGAGCGGAGTCAGAGCTGGAAGGAAACTAGCAGAGTTTGTGGCAGTAAAGTGTGGATTTAAAGAAAACCGACGGATTTAAGAAAAAAAAAAGATCATGACAAGGGACACTAAAATCCAGACAAAATCCAATCTTTGTGAAAGCTGTAGGTTCTCTGTCAGCTGAGGTTGAGCTGTTTTAGTTCACATTGAGATCTATGGGACTTTTTTCTGGGTAGCCCACTGCAGTACCACGGGCGCCCCCTGTGCCCATGGGTGGGACTGCAATAAGCTAGTAATACCCTATCCAGTTATTATCATAGATCCATGGTGAAAACACATAATGCATGCAAAAGATGTTCTGTCATGCTGCATTACAAAAATACACATGGACCAAATTGAGAGTCCAAAATTATTCACGACATCCATGTCTAACCAATGGTGATGCAGCCTGAATCCCATGTATTAATTTTCTCCCCCTTTATCCGTCATTGAGTTAGCGGAGGCAGCAGTCTGATCAGAGACTACCAGAATTCCCCATCGATGCACAATCGTCCTGCCGTCTCTCTGTGTCTATATGTGCCCCATGCTCCTCTCCCCTTGTTGCTGGTACATTGTATTGTCAATGTCTGTTCTATTTTTGAGTTTGTTTTCACCTGGACTTTTATTTGATTATCATTAAACCATTCTTTTTGGCATTCCTACATTCTCAGTCTTTTCACCTCGTGACACCTGCTGGAATCCCAACAGGCATGTTGTGGGTCTTCCCTGTGGTGACACCACTCCAGGGAGGGGGGCAGCACCTCTCCAGGGAGGAGAAAACTCTTGACTCAATTGTCTGAGAAAGACGCGTTATTGGAAAAATTGGTGTGACATAACTTATATTTTTCTTATGCTCCTCTACTTTCTCCCACCTTCCTTCACTTGGAAACAAGAGTATATGTGTAAGTCGGGACTCACAGTTGCTCGTTGGAGTTGCAGAGGTAGAGAGGCAGGGTTGGGCAGATGCCTGGTGTCCACAGTCCTCCGGCTCGGTGGTACGGACTGATGAGAGGACATGCTGGCCCAGCAGCTTCCTCTAAAGACAGGAAGTGGGAGTGGCTATGGAGGAGAAGCCGCACATTATCTGCCAGTTCCCTCAGCCTGCAAACTGTGGAGGGAGAAACTGAAGGTTAAGCAGAGAAATAATAGCAACAAGAACATAAAGTGTGGGTTAGGGCTCCGTCAGAAAGAAACACTGCAAATACGGATACCAAGTACTGCAAGAACAGTTTTTACCCTCATGCATGTTGTTCATAGCTTCATGCAGGGCACAGTGTAATAATTGCTGTATGAAAAAGAAGACTAAGAGGAGATATGTTGCTCATGTCTGTGTTTACCCTACACTGAGCAAGGACTGAACCCCAGCCAATAGCAACAGGCCCCATTGTTACAAAGTAGAAACGCATGACAGACAAATATGAGCTATCATGTAAACGTTACAGCACTGTCCATTCAAAACCAACATGACTCAGTTGTTATTAACAAGAAGACTGCATCATGAGACTAAATCGGACGTTGGGCTGAGCACTTGGTGGGATTTACTGTGGGTATTTCAAGGGGAAAAAGATGATAACAACAAAACCACATTTCCACCTCCCTCAAAATAATTTAAAACAATTATCAAAAATATTTAATCAAATGTATTAAATTAAATTAAATAAAAATAAAAAACAGTCTTATGCAAAAGCCCTGCAAGACCTCTGAATGCAGAAACTAGAAATGGTGTGTTTCAGTGAAATCTTAGCAAGTTATTGAGTAAAGGATGAAGTAAACCGCTCGTCAATTGTATAATCTCGCAAGACAACTGTACATTTTCTCAAACTTTAGCTCCGCCTATAAACATAGTAATTATATACCTATAACTGCTAACTCTTAAATATTTGTACAGATCATGTAACACTAGCCCAAAGCAGTCAGTGAGATCACAAACACAAGTTCACACTGCGGTATCGCCAATATACACGTCATATACCTTTAAAGACAACACAAATACTATGGCTGAGCTGTTGTGACTGCTGTGTTCTCATATTTAAGAACTGGCCAAAAACATTCGACCTGTAGTGGACTTTGGGATATTTCTGGCACATAATCGTTTCTCCTGTGTCCGGTTTTGCCTGCCGTTATTTTGTTGCCTCTTCTCCCAGTTTTTGCACAATCATTGCACTATTTTGTATAGCTCTTAATGTATTTTTCTTTTAGGGAGAGGATTTGTCCCAGGATCACAAATGAGAAATTCTGGCATATAAGTAAGTTATTATACAAGTTATCTTTATTTACATAGCACCTTTCAGAGACAGTCACAACGGACTTTACAATTTCTATGGGCATTTCTTCTCTCACTCCACACAGTGATGGGTAGGGTTGCCTGTACACATGGGGGCATACCAGAACTACTCTACATGTTTTAGGGGTAGGGGAAACCGAAGCACCTGGAGGAAACCTACACAGAGATGGAAAGAACATAGAGAACATGACAACAGAGACTTCACACAGAAAAGGAACCGTATGTTTGTACAGGTATGTATATCACAATAATGATGACTCAAAAATGTATACAAGTATTATTCATTCCTTCATGTATTTTTGTGTAACCTATTTTTAGGCCAGAAGTGATATTAACATAATACCAGAGTAGCAAAAATTATATTTCCTCCAACCCAAACAACCAGGCACTTGATATGACAATTATGCAACTTTGGCACATTACAAAATGATGTGAAGTGTAAACATTACAGGGAAAACTGAACCCTGCTTGTGGGTTTGAATTCCATGGACCGGTTAAACCCATTTTTGGCCACACACTGATGTCATGTTCAAATAGTGCCCAACCAAGAGAAGCGTAAATTGCGGAACGATAGATCCTCTTTGATTAGTTGCCAATGACTAGTGAGAGAGCTCATGGGGGAGACAGACAAACAAGTCTAGAGGCAGTCATAAGATCTACTAAGCACAAAAAACTGAATGAAGATGAGAAGGCCAGCACAATGAGGCAGCTTTGACATCAGCTTTAAGGCGCATGAGGCCTAAACACATGCGCTGGCACTGCTACAGACACCCACAGGCAAGTATATGGCCTGCTGCCAATGGCCATGAACTCACTCACCTCATTCTCCCCCTCTCCTTTGCAAGCTTATAGGGACGTCTCCAAAAGTGGGCCTCAACTCAAAGCACACCAAGCCAATATTTCATTCTCTAGAAGACCCCACCCCTTTGCTCCACTTAAGGCTGGGTTAGTGGAAATACTAGCAGAGAGGTGTACACGAACCGTTCACAGCGCTCGGTTTAAGCCAAAGATTTCAAGCAACGGCTTCATGTGACTGAAATAAACATTCAATCTGTCTTGTCACGTGTGCTTTTAGATAGTTCTAACAATGAGCAATGGTAAAAACTGTATACATAAAAATTGCACAATTGTTTGAGCCCTGAGATATTTTAACTTGATAAAATTTATTTCACACATTTATTTTTGTCTTGTACTGGACACTAGTAAGACACTAATTGCCTCGAGGTTATATCAAAAATGAGTGTCGGGATGTATAGTATTGTATCGTGAATACTGTAGCGCTTATTGCTTCTGTGCACGTGTGCCCAGAGCGGTCGTGGTTAACCTGGACTATTTAAAGTGGCGGACCGGCACTTCCGGGTTTTTCTGGTAAACGAGAGCTCATTAAGTTAGTTTATGTGTTCTTGTGAGTAGTTGTACCAGTGAATCAATCAAAGACTGAGGAGGCAGTCGGTAAGACCCACTTGTTTATACGGACTTTATGTGGCGCGATCGGTTGCATGTGCTCCATTTGGTCACGGGTGAGTCTTCCATTCTGGCTCGGACATTTAAACTGCGTTTACGTGGGGTGCGTGTACCACGCTGGGTTTTGGAAAGTGCAGCCTACTGTTAATTTTGAGCTTTTAACATGGAAGTGTTTATATTGACAGGGTTATTTATAGCAGCAAATCTGCAGCCTTATTTGGTGGTGGAAAGCGCTGGATTTAAACATCTGATTAGCATACTTGAGCCATGCTGCAGTACGCTACAGTATATACAGCTATAAGAAAAAGAAAATAAATCAATAATTGAATCAAATCATGACCCTAAAATGAAAAAATCAAATTGAATTGAGAATTTTGAGAATTGTGACACCCCTAGTATGTAGACAGGCAACGCTAACCCACTAGCTCAATGAAAACCAATAGGGAAGTGCTCATGGAAGAATTTGTATTGTTCCAGACGCTTTTGATTATCGTTATGCGGATAACGTTAAGGTTATTACAGTGACTGAGTTTAGTACTGTACTGTACTCAAAAGAAACACATGAAGAATCCCGGATAAAGCCTAGCGTACATCGGACTGGCAACTGATTATATCCGTCGCCTCTGAGTTGCTGCCCCGCACACATCGACAATCTGGCGAAAACGGGCAACTCTGAGTCGCAGGCCAGTCTCTTGAATAACAGCGCGTACATCGACAGCATCTGGCCTCAACTACAGTGTGTTTTCTGACATAAACTGTTGCGGGCGCGCTATACACGCAATACACACACGTTGTTGGAGCGGCGCATGGAGCGCGCACATCGGAGCAACTGAGGACAACTAGTTGCCGAAAAGTAGAACACGGGCAACTGACTGAAACTGGAGACCGACTGATCATCTCCAGTTGTAAGAGCGCGCACATCGACCGATTTCGCAACTGATCATCTCCCACCATCTCCTCTCAGTTGCCAAAAGCCGCCTTGCAACTAGTTGTCCCCAGTTTCTCTGTCGATGTACGCTAGGCTTAAGGGAGGAAGGGAGGAAGGGGGGCTGCAAGAACCCAGGCTCAAGGAATGTGGCACCCTGTCAGCTCCCATAAGAATTTATCTTCCCAGAAGACTCATTACCCAAGGGACCAGGACAAGGAGACCCTATCTCCCAACAGCACACAAAGACAAAACACAAGGATAATTCACAGTTAAACTCTTTATTTCATGCATCATCATTTCATGATCTATAAATATTATTGTCCCGGAGCCTGGACCCAGTTGCCGTTTGCGAAATAGCAGAGACATCCAATCTATGCAACAGATGAGTTCTGTTTTGATCTTTAAAGTGTCCAAAAAGAGTCTGTATTCAGAGAGATATGAGCCGCTCAAGTGAATTGTGAAGTGAATTGTATCGCATCGCTGACATAGTGAAATGTATTGTATCGTATCACATCATATAGGCAGGGGGCCTCAGTGTATCATTACTGTATCGAATTGGTGATCAAGTATCGAGATAGGAAAGTCCCATTGGTTTAAGAACTTCTTTTTCAAGGGAGTCCTGGACAAACGTTACATACAATTACAGATTATAAAGCTGTTACATACAGAATATACAATTTCATAAAATTACAAATTATAAAAACAGCTACATTTCAATGAGGATGTCTCAGTCTCTCAATCTGGATCTAAAAGCATTCAATGAAAAAAGTTAATTTCCTTGTCCTTCCTAATTGTCTTTTTACAACACGTTCCATGTAGAAGGAGCAGCATAAAAGCCTTTTTTCCTAGTTATGGGCAAAATGAACAGAGAGCAACAAAAGATGATTTGATGGCAAACCATATGAACCAACATCTCTTTGTGTGAGTAAATGGCAGATGTAAGAGGGCAGCAGACCAAGCATAGCCTTATAAAGAAAAGTGCACCAGTGTCCAAACCATCTGGTGGACAAAGATCCCACTCCAGGATATCATTCACAGTGGTGAGTCAAGGCTTTTCAGTTCGTAATGAATAGAACATTTTAATTGAATCATTATTGATTGATTGATTGTATTTTATTATTTTAGTTTTTTAGCTTTTTTCCTATATTTAAGCGCAGTCTTACTGTTGAAACTGTAAAATGTTACAATGGCTGACAATATTAAATATACTTCTTTAGAAATGAAACCTCTGCCTTGTTCTTGAATTAGGCTTATTACGCTACTGTATAATGTCGGTCATTTGTGGTGGTACTTGGAGAGGCAAGTATTTTCAGAGGCACTACTTTATACAAAAGGGGATGG